TCACATAATCTTTGTTTGTGTCGATATGAGGGCTACATATAGTGAAAGAAAAACATTTATATTGAATGAAAAAGCAAAGAAATTATTTAGAATCAATGATTATAACATATTTAGAATCAATGATTATAACATACTTGCAGCCATGACGGGAGATGACATTCAATATACCAAAATGTTAAGAAAAATATAGAAAATTCAATGGAAATAGATGGGACACTAGGGATCCATCTTGCAGCAGAAAAAGCCCGAATGAATATCGAAATATGGTAATCAATTTTGAGCAATGCTGAAAGGAAATTTAATATGTGCGCTCTTACAGTTGAATAGGAGGAAATGGATACCAACCGGTTTTATAGGTTCTTTTTCATCATTATGATGCTTTTGCTATTCATCTTTTCTATTCAATTTTCTCTCTATAATACAATTGTGATCCCAAATATACACATGATGAGCTTAACGAGAGAGTGGACAAAATATTTAGAAGACAGTTTTCAAGGTATAGTCATATTGTTATCGTATGACTAAATAGAAAATTCATTGTGTGACTCGTACATTTTAAATGCTACGTTGATGGATTATATGAGGAAATGAAAAGTGTTAATGAAGTTTTGTTCAAGCTCTTCAATTGCAACAGTGACATCTTGTTTATCATACTATGCCTTGTGAAGTTCAAGCTCTATCGTTGGTTCTAATTTGTGGATTAGGTGCATCTCCTATTTTGTTAGGTAAGCCAACACAAGAATTACTCAAAACTCAACTTCCTCAAAATATTGAAGATTGTCTATTTCTCGTGTCAACTCCTGTATTTAAGTCGGTTATTCTGCTCAACGATGGTCCTAGTAAGTTGTCTTTAGGTAAAACATACCATTCTCAAATTTATTTTTTCTTGTGTACCAAATTGCCTAGAGCTAATCCTTGAAAGTGTTGACTATCTAAACAATGTAACAAAATAAAATTTATTGCTATGAATCTTTCCATATCTTCAATAATTATGATGACTTCTTTATTTCACTGTGCTCTGGAGACCCATCCAACTTTTGCTAACTTCAACCTCTCATGCATGCATGCTCATTGTAATCAAGGTTTAGGTTTAGATCCAACTTATTTTCTAAACTTGTTTATTCACTATTTGGTTTGGTTTTCTCAACATTTTAACCATAATGTGCTTATTTTCTATCAGGTTGCTGTTGATGACATGACACAATGAGCAATATTGAAGTTTTCTTCTGTATTTTAGCCAAAACTTATTGTATGAGAATCCTCCATTGGTCTAGTCATTTTTAATTGTATTTTTGCAGATGTCCCTCCATCTCTATACCTCTCACACTTATCCTTTTGGAGTTGGAGCGTCCAACTAACCTTTCAATTGTGTGATGATATGAGAAAGAGAATAACGAATCTATAATATCTATATGACAAAAGCCAACAGGGTTTGAAAAATTAAGGGCCTACACTACATTTGAAAAAAGCAATATTTTTTGTAATTTTTTTTTTAGTTTTGAACCATGTATATAATATATCATTTGGTTTCAGCATATTTCTCCTGGTTTATATCTGCCTAGGATTCTAATGAGGAACTAAAAGTCAAATGTCTTTATTTGTTGATGGATGATTGATTCACAATTTTTTCTTTTTCTTTTGGTTGAAGATTCACAATGATTCTTGAGGTTTAACTTGATGGGTTTTTATTTATTTATTAAATAACCCATCACCTTATTAATCTATAAATAAAACCCTATTTTATAAGTAAAACCCGATGACTAGGGTCAAACTCAACAAGTTACTTAATCAAGCTTAAAATCTCATTTATTGTACTATTTAGATCCTGAATTTTTTTAGCTCGGGCAGGGTCAAAGTTTCAAAGGGATCAAACCCGAGCAAAAACAAAATATATAAATTATTATCAATAAGAGATAATAGCTAAATTGACATTATCAATAAAAACAACGTACCTCTTATATATATATATATATATATAATGTACCTATTATCAATAAAACATAATAGGTAAATGTGTAGGTGCATGATCAAATAATTTGTAGGTACACAACTAGAGGAATGAACAACCAAAAAAAGAGGAATGATTAATATGCAAGAAATCAGGGTTCATATCATCTAGAAGAAGAAAAAAAAAGGCTATGTACATTACAACAAGGAGTTAATATGGTATGCCATGTGAATAAATCATAATGCAAAATGTGAAGGTGATATGTTACCATACCAGTTACCCTTATCTTCGAATTGAAATCGACATTCAATTCATGTTCTTCTCCACTTAATAATAATAATAATAATAATAATAATAATAATAATATCAGAATGAAAAAAAAAAAAAAAAAAAAAAAAAAAAAAATGGAAAATCAACTTGAAGACACAAAACCGGATTCTTTAAATGATGTTAGAGAAAGTGTGATTAATAGGAATCCATGTACAGGGTAGGAAAGGAAAAAGAAAAAAAAAAGTGAAACATTTGCAAGCCAAATGATTTCAATGAAATATGTCCCATGCTTGGTCTTTGGTTTTCTCTCTGTGGCATGTGTTGCACTTGTTGTGCTTGTTGAAGACGAACAATCATGTTTGCATTCTCAAGTCTCAGTTGTTGTGGCTCGACATCATTGCGTTGCCTAGGTCAAACATTCTTGGGCACATAGTCTTTATGTGGCCCACCTCGTCATATCCAAAACACATAACTAACTTCTGCTTCTTCTGGGCTTGACCACTATTTGGAGAAGTGGAGGTTACAGAAAAATAGTAAAGGTGATTAAGAGTCTGTAGCAATTTGTTCACATGTAAAAATCAAAGGGTTTATTCTTTTCCCACTCGAGTGTGCTATTTGTTCACATGTTATTCATAAATTTTTAAAAAAATATGACATAGTTACATAAGCACAAGACTAAGATTCATGGAAAGCATGTAACTAGTAAAAGATAAGAAAGAACAATGGTACAAACTGGAAAATCAAAAGTGACCAAACTTTAATTTATTTATTTTTTGAAGTTTTCACAAATATGGGTTCATAAATAATTCAGATTTAGGATTACGAATCATGATATTGAATGCAAAGTTGAAGAATCACAAGAGATTGACCTTGGTTGTGGATGCTTTGAAGTTTGATTGCGTTAAACTATGAAGGGATGAAGTGAAGCAGAACAGTGAGGATGGTCTTTGGAAGGTGTTCTTAGATATGGATGGGTGAGGGATCCCTTAATTAATTTTATTTAAGGAACACCCATTGGGGTCCACTAAGAATATTTTTTGAATGATCCGAACCGTCTATTTTTCAAGTCTTCATTCATAGATTATCCATGCCAAAAAAAAATTTCATAAATCATTAAGTCATCTAATTGTGCTTAACAAAATCGATGAACATGCTTCAAGAAACTAAAACAACAATCACATTCAATTGACTAGTCAAATAGATTCGGATTGAAGAGATTTTTGGTGAGGATGATCTTTGAATGAATAAATAAAACTTGGACATTCGGATCATTGAAATACAATTTCCGGTCCCTCAACTGAAGGTCCATGTAAATTACTTTGATATTATATTCATATATATATATATATATATATACTACTTTTAATAACCAAATAGTATTTGGTGCACTAATTGTATCAAAAAATTATGACATATCAATATTGAAAACTAAATTTTTTTAAAAAAAATCCTTAGATTAAATTCAAGCAGAGAATAGGGCAGGGAAAACTCTTGTTTGAGGTAAAAAATGTTAAATACTTGCATTAGTGTGATGTTATTAATGCTAAAGATCTTCAGTATATTTGCAATTCTAGTGTTTGGAGAGGTGTTCTTTATGGTGCTCAGATTCTCCCTAATGACATTAAGTGGAGAGTTGACATTATGCTCTTACTGATTTATTTCAGGAAATGTTGTAGTTGAATGTGAGTGATTTTTTGGATGACTGTGTTTGGGATATCAATTTGCTTAACGATATTGTGAATTTGATTGTCAGTACTCATGCTCAGTTTTCTGGTAGTGATTTCTGATCAATGCAGAATTTTATTTGGCAGCTTGCTAGTCCACCTAAGGTGAAGACTTTTCTTTGGGTTATGTGTCATAAAAAGCTACTTGTTCGAGAAGTGTTTCTTCATTGGAATCCATTGAGCATCTATTCAAGGATTGCAGAAGGGGTTTTGGTTCCTCCATGGAGAATAATAACTATGATATGATGGATTTTGAGGGACATGGTTAAGAATTTACATTCTAAAAGAATTTGTAGTTTTTGGTTTTTTTTTTGCGAAAGAAAAGTCCTAAAAAACCATATAAACCAAAATCGAATTCTTTATTTACAAAGAAAAAAAATTATCAGTTTTGGAAATTCAATTGTTTTTCAATCATCATTTTCCATTTGGGAATAAAATAAAATCCCAATTTATAACTTCCGGCATTTCCTACCACAATTTCGACTGATGAAGTCACTACACTAACTTGCAACGCACAATTTCAACCCAACCAAACAAAAAAGAAAAAAAGAAAGACTTGTAACGCACAAAACTTGCAGTATGAGTTTCCATAGCTATGTTGTAGACGTGTGGGGCAGTGAAACCCTCTTAGACGGCCACCGAGTCACCCACCCCATCGTCATCAAAAACTCTCTTTCTGTCTATTTATACGAATTTGGTAATTGTTTACAAAACCAAGGGCTGCAAACAACAAACCAAAACCAGGGTCTTTTTAAGGAAACAAAAACAGTTCTAAAACCTCGGAGTTACTTTCTTTCTTTCATGATATTCTAGAGAGAGAGGAAAAAAAAAAAAAAAAAAAAAAGAAAACCTCGCTTCCCTTTTAATTCTCGGGGGCACAAACACAACTTTCTCACGCCTCTCTCTAGCTTCTCATCCGATCTGCGACCTGTCTCGGCAACAAATTCAGATACCCATCTGCTCAAGGCATCAGAATTTCCAAATTCTTGCTCTTGATTTTTCATTTTTTTTATTTTTTATTTCTGCTTGAACTCAGTGGCGTGCGCTGGTTTTTAATCATGGGGAGTTGGAGAGGGCAACAAGGTTACATTTATTCTCAACAGCAGATTCCCTGGACTAAACCACAGAACAGAAAGCCGCCACAAGGTATATATATTTATAATTTATAATTTGAAGGTTTTTTCATGAACACTGGTTTGTAATTCTGTTGAAGATTGTTTCTTTGAGGTGGGTTTTCAGTTTGGGAAATTGGGTTCTTCTTTGATTTTCTTATGGTTCTCTCTGTTTGTGTTGTTTATGAATTTTGTTCTGTTTCTTGAGCCGCTGAATGGGTTGAAGTTTGTTTGTTTTTGGAATTATGCATTGGGGTTCTACCTGATTTTTCTATTTGCTTTGTATATCTATCTACCGGCTTCTTTTGTCTCTACAGAACAAAGTTTCATGACAAGAAGTTTTACCAATGGGGAGAATTTTTTTTATTTCTTAATTGAGTAGGAGACTAATGGAGATATATCATTGATTGAGGTTTTAGAAGTTCATTAACAAACAAATCTTATTTTCTCTCTAAATCTCTCCACTTTTGGAAATAAAATAAGGTGGTTACTCTTATAAGTCATAATAAAACCTATAACCAGGAGTTTTTCTGAAATCTACCAGACAGCAGAAGATTTCCCAAAGAAAAAATTTCTGCTTTTTTCCATATCAGGAGGAGCAGTACTGGTTTTGGTAAATCCCTCGCCCAATTGTAGTTAACCTTTTAGTTTCTTTTCCCGAGCTGGAGCATGTGTGGTTCTGTAAAGATGTCTTCATTTTGTACAGAAGTTTTACACTATGAGGTGAGCTAGGCTGTTATGATGGTAGAAGTTCTTTGTTTTGAATGATTACCCTGTTTGATTTTGTCACTAAAACAGAGCGGTGTTCGAATTAGTTGATATTTGTATATGTGTAGATTTTATTGCAACGAATATGGTTTTTGGCAGGGCTTTATATATTTTTGTTACTGTGTTCAGTTGCTTGTGTACCTGGGAAGTGTAGCTTCTAATGTTTGAACTGCGAGAGTTTTAATTTGCAGAGTATTGTTTTATTTTTGTTAAATTCATGATTTCTAGTTGAAGCTATGTTGCAGACTTGCAGTGGCATGTTTGGTTTTGGAAATAAGGTTCTTGCTGATTTGGTTAGTTTAGCTGTTAATCTTAACTTGATATGGATTTTCAATTTTGTAACCGGAAAAAAAAGGTGTGAAAATGCTGTTGAAATGGGGAAAAGCATGACAGTTGTCTTTTCGGTTAGATTCCCATTGTTGTTTTTCTGTTGGATTTTCCTGTAAATGTTACAGTGATATGTTTGGTTTTAAAGAAGGGTGACAACATTTTTCGTTTGGAAATAAGTTTCTTGCTGATTTGGTTAGTTTAGCCATTGATGAAATCGCAAACAAATTTGTTTTTTTGGGTTAGATTTCCATTGTCTTTTTCGGTTAGATTTCCTTTGTCGTGTTCCTGAATTTTTTGGTTAGATTTCCTTTGTCGTTTTTCTGTCAGGTTGTCCTCTATATATATTTATAGCATTACTTTTCGAGTTTGTATCATATTTCCGTCACCGTGATCCTTTATTGCATCTGTTTCCCAGGTTGCATCATATTTCCATCTCTGTGATCATTCATTGCATCTTTTTCCCTTTCAAGGAAATTGTGGCTCTTTCTTGAATTTTTGTTTACTTGTTAACCAAATGTAGCATGTTCTGTAGTTTTATGATGATTGAATTGACAGTTTTATTTGTTTTTTCTTACCAGATAGTTGGCAGTTCACTGTGCCACACTGGGAAAGGAAATTCTGTTCGATTGTTGGCTCAGTTCCATGGGGAAAACTTATAGAAACAAAGAAGTATATGTATCTTTATGAAAATATTGTTCGGTGGAATGATTCTGCTGGTGAAGAGGCATTCAACAATGCAAAAAGCCGGTTTTGGGCGGAGATTAATGGTCTACACTGTAGCATATCGTTGCCGGATCCTGACATTTATATCGATGATATTGATTGGAACTCCACCATTGATCCTGAACTGGTTTTGGATTTGGAAAGGGAACCTAAACCCTCCAATGATAAAGCCCAAGAAGAGGCTGTTATTCTCGGCAATCCCCTCCTTTTAAATCAGTCATTTTCATGCACTGGATGGGGTGATGAAGAAGAGGAATTCAAAAATAAAGAAAATCCTGACAATTGGAATCGTGGATGGAATGAGGATAATAAAGAAAATCCTTGGGAACCTGTTTCTGCTCAGAGTAAAGCAGGCGTAGGAGGATGGGATAACAATTGGGAGAACAATGCTAGTGAATGGAAGAACAATACTGGTGGTCCAAACAACATGTATTATAGACGAACTGATGGAGCTTTCTGGGGAAAGTCGGATGCAAATAGCAGGAAGAAAGAGGGTGGCAGTTGGTACAACTCAAGATACAAGACCTCAAGATTTAATGCCGATCACTATCAGAAAGATCGAGGGTGGAGGAACGGAGGGAGAAGGAACAACAGGGTTCATGCTGGCTATGAAAACCTGACTTGAGGCAGTGGAACTTGGCAATGTCAGCAAATTTAAGATTGCAATGGAGTTTGGAGAAACCAGTTTTGTGAGAGTATGCCGTACGTATTGTAGCTTCTTCTTTTTTTCTTTTGTTTTATTGGGCTGTTTATAGGGCAGGGTATATAATAGGTGGTACTATGAACTGGGGCAAAAGTTCAGCAAATTCTATTAATTCAGTTTGTATGTGTTGCATTTTGGTCATATGTTGATGAGAACTCGCCTGAGATTTTGTAGGTCGCCTCTGAAATTAGGTCACTGTGCATATCTTTGGTGTTATGTTCGTTGATTGTCAACAAAAAATGTATAATCTGATCAGAATGTGATACTTTCTCATGAAATCTCTGCAGTGTAAGTAAATGTAATACTTCTCTTGTTCTAAGTGCCTTCAGCCATAATTTTCTTTTATTCTTTGCTGACAGAAAAAAAAACACACACACACACAAAGAAAACACGAAAAAGCCGAAGTTTTCTTTTATTTTATTGTAATTAGGAAATTTGATGAGAATGGCAACGTGTGGGCTGATGAGTGTTTTTATTTACACGTTTTATGTGTTCTCTGGAAGTTGTCGTTGTCTTTGTTCTCTTGTTCCAATGCCTTCCTTTATTCATACTTTGTCGGAAGGTATATTGAATATTAGTGCCTAGTCATTATTCATATTATAAGCTGAGAGCAGGTAGCACAGTGGTGGCCTCCCCCTTCCCCTGATTGACACTCCAGGTTCGAATGGGGTTTCTTTCCTCCCAATGTAACCAAAAAAAAGAATATATTCATATTATAAACATAGACTACATAGTCCCTTGGTCAGTATTCATGTATAAAGAATTGGGGAATGCCATCTTCCCTCATTCATCATTTTGGGAGGAAACATTTCAGCCCTACTGATGGTTCTCTCACTTTCTTACAGTACTATAGTGGTGTTGGGTGTGGGCATTCGATTCGAAAAATTTGCACACCGATCGTATCGAGCTGATGGTTTGGTTTAATTAAATTATTATTTTTAATCAGTAATGGGTATTAGAATTATTCCAATTCATTTTCTTGAGTGTTTGTTGACACATGGGTATTGGAATGATTTCAATTCCACTTTTCCTATGTTTACTTACACACACAAAATAAAAAGTAATGAGAGTTCCATGGTAAAATCCATAATCAGATCAACTAGGAAGAGTAGTTGATTCAATTCCAATTCCTTAGTATTTTTTTTAATTTTGATAAATAAGTCATGTTAATAAGGTTATGTTTGGCAATGAGCATGTGTAATTGGAAATGCATCCATATAATAATACTTTGAACACAATGTTAAGTTAACCTCAATGTTGGTTTTGAAAACTATTGATAAAGATTGTTCCACCCGGAAAGAAATTTTAAAAAAATGGACACGTAAAAGTTTCGTAATTGACTAAATCAAACCGATCTATGCTCAGACAGACCTAGTTGGCCGTACTAAAATACCAAGTATAATTTAATTATAATTATAATTTGAAAATTGGTGGTTACCAAATCGCCTTGAGTTAGAGTTTTAGGCTTTTAGCCCATTTACAGGGTTTCTTTTTCCGGAAAGGCTTTTTGGGCAGGCATCAGGCCTCTTTCTAGCAGAACCCATTACTACAGAATCCACAAGTCCATTGTCAAAACTCCCCAACCCAAACCAAGTCCCAGAATAAGGTTTGTGAAATCTGAAGACTGAAGAGGCCGGAGGAGGAGAGAGCGAAGCTCGAGGAGGGTAAAGGGTTTCTGAAATTTCTGTACCGTCTCGTTCACATATTGCACGTAAACTGTTCGTTTATATGTCTCACTGAGAAAAAGGGGGAAAACTGCGCTAGGTAGTTTTGTTTTTCAGTGAAGTGCCATGACTATGGAGGAGGATAAACCTTCAACAACTGTAGCAGAGCCATCTGTTGCAGCAGTCCCAATTGCTCCAGTTCGACCTCCCGTACCGAGGCCGCCGGCGCCACAAAATGGTGAAGCGAGGGCGAGTACGAGCGACTCTGATTCCGATTCGGCGGGCCCTCCCCGAGCCACCGGCGTTTCGGGTGCCGAATACGAAATATCGGAAGAGAGCAGAGTGGTGAGAGAGCGACAGGAGAAAGCAATTCAAGAACTGTTGATGAAGCGCCGTGCTTCTGCTCTTGCTGTTCCCACTAACGACATGGCTGTGAGGGCTCGTCTTCGGCGGCTCGGCGAACCCATTACTCTTTTCGGAGAAAGAGAGATGGAGAGGCGAGACAGGTTGAGGATGATCATGGCAAGGCTTGATTCGCAAGGCGAGTTGGAGAAGTTGTTGAAAGTTCATGAGGAGGAGGAGGCTGCCGCTTCTGCTGCATTGGAAGATGGTGATGATCAAATGGTTCAGTACCCTTTTTACACTGAAGGATCCAAAGCTTTGATGAATGCGAGAATTGACATTGCAAAGTACTCCATTAAGAGGGCAGCTTCGCGGCTTGAACGGGCTCGAAGGAAGAAGGATGACCCAGATGAGGATATGGATGCAGAGTTGGACTGGGCTTTGAGGCAGGCATCAAGTTTGGAACTTGATTGTAGTGAGATTGGGGATGATAGGCCACTTTCTGGTTGTTCTTTCTCACATGATGGAAAACTGCTTGCCACTTGGTATGGTCTCTTTACCTCTCTTTTTTGGTGTCTGAATTGTAAATTTAGTTAATTGCTAAATATGATAATTCATGGTTTATTTCCTGCTATTTGATTTTTGATTGCTATAGCCATCTTGGGTTGTAAGGTAAACATATGAATATAAGTGAAAAAAAATAAGTTTCAACCTTTTAATATTATTATGCTAACTAGGTGTTTTTAGGATGGCTAGCCAAGATTTATTGCTTTGCTAGTACTATAGATTTTGTGAGACTTATTGTATGTAGAAGATGTTGGACTGATTTGCTTATGTTGCTTTACCTTTCTCAGTGCTATAAGTGGAGTTGCCAAGTTGTGGAGCATGCCTGAAGCAAAGAAGTTTGCCACCTTGAAGGGACACTCAGAGCGCCTGACTGATGTTCAGTTTTCTCCTGTTCATAACCTCGTAGCAACTGCTTCTGCTGACCGGACTGCAAAGTTGTGGAACACTGAAGGATCTCAGCTGGTGACATTTAAGGGCCATTTGGACCGTCTTGCACGTATTGCCTTCCATCCATCAGGAAAATATTTAGGTACAACTAGCTTTGACAAGACATGGAGGCTATGGGATGTAGAAACTAGTGAAGAGTTGCTTCTTCAAGAAGGTCACAGTAGGAGTGTCTACGGGATAGCATTCCACCCTGACGGATCATTGGTGGCATCTTCTGGACTGGATGCACTTGCTCGTGTTTGGGACCTCCGTACGGGTAGAAGTATTCTTGCCTTGGAAGGCCATGTCAAGAAAGTGAGACTCTAGTTTTATCTTTTATATTTTTAATGCAATTAATTTTCATTATTTGTACACGTTTCATTCAATTATTTTAACATTCAGTTATCTTTCAGGTTCTAGCACTCAGTTTCTCGGCAAATGGCTATTATTTAGCCAGTGGGGGTGAAGACAACACTTGCAGGATATGGGATTTAAGAAAAAAGAAATCCATATACATCATTCCAGCACATTCCAATCTCATATCACAGGTCAAATTTGAGCCTCAAGAGGGATATTTCTTAGTAACTGCTTCGTATGATTTGACAACAAAGGTACACTACTTTTTGGGAACCATGATTTCTAAATAGAGAGTGAATTTGGAGTTATTAATACTGATTACCATTTTATTGATTCATATCTTGATTATGCAATATCTCATCTTTGCCAGATATGGTCAGCCCGAGATTTTAAGCCTGTCAGGACGCTCTCTGGACATGAAGCAAAAATTACTTCTTTGGATATTGCAGGAGGTAAGTTTCCTAATCAACGGTTATGCATATTCTTTTGATTATTACGTCCTGTTTTCACCCATTTAAGTATGCATGGACTTTTTGGTGTATGACTATAGTCTGTATCAAGAGGCATAGTCCAAAGAATAATAAGAAATGATTTTTTTTTATTTTTTGGGGTGGGGTGATATGCAGGGCTGCGTCCATCCTGCCCGAATTTCTCTTTTTTAATTTTTTATTAATTAGTTACGATATGTATTGTACACACCTTTCAATATGTATGTATATACATATATACACTCCTTTTACAATTTTTCACCCCTCCCTAACACTGTACTTTTAGAATCTAGACATTTTTTCCTCCCTTATATAGTAAGTGCGGATAACCACTGTACCAGCTTTCTCTGTGTACAATCCGATGTTCTTGTCATCATATTTTGACTTCACTAACTTAGATCTCGGTATTACGGGTTAACTTAAGGGTATAGACCTTTGTCAGAATAAAGTGAGAAACTGTAGTACTGGCCTTCTACCTGCCCTTGTGGTTAAGTGCGCTTGCACTAACTCCTAGTGGTCTTGGGTTCGAAGGTTGGTACCACATTCTCTACAAAACCCAAAAAAAAAGAAACTGTAGTTGATTCTATTGTTTCCTTGAAGCAGGTTTATTGCTGTCATCTTGGTCTTGATTGATTATCTCATTATATATTTCATTGATGAGAAGAATATATAAATGAACTCCCGTAGATTACATTGTTTTGATACAAAGAATGATAACTTCAAACAGTATTGACTCACCAAGATATTTGCTTCACTTCTTGAAGACATTACTTGAAACCCCAGAGTTTTAAGAATTTCTACTTCAACCCTACTAGGTGCAATTTGTAGTTGTATCCTTAGGGAAAACCCTCTCTATTTCCCCCTTTATGTGTAAAAAAATATGAATATCTCTGTGCCGCCTAGCCTTTCTAATTATGTCCCATAGACCATGTAGTAATTTCCCTTACTCTTTTCTTTTCTATCCTTCTTAGGTTTTTCTTGGAAAAAATACTTTTTAAAAGTTTTTCTTGCCCTGCTTGTGGTTTTCTATTAATTCCGAAAGTAAAAGTGCTTAACCTGCTTGGATTTCTTGGAGTGACTACTTGTTATCTAATTGCTTATGTTGTTGCTGATGGCAGATGGGCATCAAATTGCTACCGTATCACATGACCGAACCATCAAACTATGGTCCAGCAGTACCAATGAGAAGGATCAGGCAATGGATGTAGATTAGGACCTCCTCAATTCTCCTTAAAATTACAAAGGATGAAAGTGTTGGTCGATCTTACTTGGGAATACATGGATTATAGTGAGACAGTTCATTCAGGGTTAAAGGTTTGGTTCTAGTTCAAAATCAGAAAGTTGGTTCTAGCTGTAACATCGTAAGGTACATGAGATAATGTCTCTAACAACCTGAAACACATCTAAAATGCCTCTTTTATTAGCTGCTTCAGATGGAACCCTTGCTTGGCTGGTAGATATTGGTATTCAATTTTATTTTTTTTTTACAAAAAAAGTTGTGAGGCTCTGTGCTGCCAGTGGAACAGTGTTTAGTCACGTAATTATCCTCTTTGTTTGTCTTTGGACTATGTTTTAAATTAGCTTGAATAAATGAGAATTGGATCATCGATAAGAAAGCAAAGAATAGATGAGGAGTTGATGACAAAGGAGAGAAGCAATTAATAAGAAACTGGACGGTAGTCAGAGAAGCACCTCAAATCTAAGTTAAAGGAAGATTTGATTTGATTTTCTTGCCATAAATTTCACTCTTCCTGCATTTATTATAGTCATGTTTTCACTTCTCTATTAGTTTGGGGTCCTGAGCTTCATACAATCTTCTCAAAGAGCCATGGGAGCCATTTCAACTAACCCTTTGTTCTCCATGGCAATAGCTCTCGTGTTATCTGCTACTTATTTGTTCCCTTTCTCTCTTAGACAAGCTGATCGTAATGGTGGCTTCAGTGTGGAGCTTATTCACCACGACTCTCCCATGTCTCCTCTCTATAATCCTTCAGAAACACCGTCACGTGTGAGAAATGCTTTGCAGCATTCCATTAACCGTGTCGATTTCTTGAGCACAACTTCATTCCCTTCAAACATGCCTAAATCTACAATAATATCAGACATGGGTGAATATCTCATGAAAATATCAATAGGTACACCTCCTTGGGAATTCTTTGGCGTTGCAGATACAGGTAGTGATCTTATCTGGACGCAATGCATGCCTTGCACCAACTGTTACAAGCAGAAAGCACCAATCTTTGATCCGAAAAATTCCAAAACTTAGGCAGATATTTCTTGTAGCTCAAGCGAGTGTCAATCTGTGAATGGAACTTCTTCCCTTCCCAATGCATAAGAAGTTTGTCACTACAGAGTTTCGTATGGAGATGGATCCTACAGCAAGGGAATTCTAGCCACAGAAGGAGTCACTTTTGGCTCCACTCCACTACTGGCCAACCGGTGCTATCAAAGCTCCGTTGACTGCAGTGAACACCTTCTTAAGACTCTGAATGGACGTTGTCTGCTTTGCTTTCAAATCTAAGTGTCGCTATCTTCGGCAACATGGCACAAACGAATTTCTTGATAGGCTATGACCTTAAGAAAGATACTGTTTCTTTTAAACTTACTGATTGCACCAAAAATTAATTTGGTGTCATAGCATAGTGTGGTATTGTCCCATAGCAGCGTTCCGCAAATAGAAGACATAATGCTGCACATTTCAGCTAGTCATTTCATATATATAGAATCATAATGCCAATCAATTTAAGCATAATGTTGATTTTATCAAAAAATAGAAAGCCATAAAGTTGTAAATCAGTAAATCAGTAAATGTAGGTAAACATTACAATATTATTCCCGCATCAAAAAAACAAATTTACAATATTATTCATTAATAATTTGGAAGTCCTGCCTACTGATTGATTACCCTGAGCCATCGGTTGGCATTCCAAGACAATTTCAAACCTGGTCAATTTTTCTCATCTTCAAGGGCCAAAATACAAATCGCAACTCTAAATTTATCACATGTGAGATCCTTTCTTTAAAATAATATAAACAAACATAAATTGGAACCATCTTAAGGATGTCAAAACTTCAAATCACTCATTTGTATTTTAACTAAAAGATGTACTCTAGCATCCCTGGCTTTGACCCGTTTACAGGAAATAATACAGTACAACATGCTTCCTCCACCAGAAAATAAATGTGCGTGGATAGTCCATGAATGTTAATAGATTAGCCAAAAGTATTGCGTCCCTTCCGCATCACTTGTACCAGCCAGCAAGGAAAAATCTCAGCACGAAACAGAAGCAGCAAGCGATGGCCTGTTGCATGTAGGCATTCAACAATTGCAACATTTACAAATTACACAACTAAAACACAAATATGATCACAGAATATCAATAAATTGTCTGGCATGCACCTTAGCATGCATCTTAACTAAAACACCAAAGAATGCCGTATATTTTCTGATATGCCAACTGTTCACTAGGTTTCCACCTGGAGACATAAACACTAAAACCCATTCTTAATAGATGGATATATTTTGCCTAAAACAATCAACTAAGATTTAAACCCCAGGGGATAGCTCAGTTGAGGAGGTTAGGATTGGAATATCTCATGGGATTCAATCCCACCCCAATGTACCAAAGAAAACAATCAACTAAGACTTAATCTCAGAAAATTGGGGTGAAATACATGGATCCTTAAGCTGCTGGCTTCTTAATTTTTAGTAACCAATCTACTTGGGTTGGTTTTATACTTAGTAGGTTTGGAGCATGACTGACATGGCATAATCATGCCAACAGTATCAGCTTATTGTCCAAATGGTGAGAAACAATAACACTCATATGTGCAGGAAGTATTTACAAGTTCAGCTGGATCTTTCCCCATTTAGCCTAAGAATGCAGGTCATAGGCTTTTGCATACCACACAAATATCTTGTGGTGATGGAGGTGGACTCAAGATTACATGCAATAAACATGCAGGTTATAGGGAAAAAAACATGAATAAATAACCTGGAAAACTAGAAGATAGATGCAAAGTGACTTCTCCGTCATCCTGCCAAATCGTCTTAGAAAAAGGTTTACAAGTGTCCCATCATTTGTCCCAGTCAGCAGTCCAGTGCCAGGATCAAACCTGAAAAGTAAAAGGAAAGATATTTACAGTGATCATTCTCTATGATGCCTCCAGCAGTTCCGAATCATAAGTTAGAATTCACAGAAAATTACTTAGGAAGACGATGCCGTGGACACGGAACAATGCCAGCAAGCTGAAAAGAAGGTAACAAAAGATGAGGTGACGTACATGTCATGCATTTTAGCTGTCATATATGAGAGAGAGAGAGAGAGAGAGAGAGAGAGAGAGAGAGAGGATTATATCAAACCTGGGGCAGTGACAAGAGAAAGTTCAATACTTGAGGGACAAAGAAAATCAGAAGTGTTTCACTGAAACCAAAATTCAAAAGGATAAACAAGAGTCAACCATCAGGTAATGTATATGAATGTTAACAAAAGCATAGTAGACAATAATGGAAAGTTATATGTCAGGAAAGAAGCAGCGTCATTCCAAAAGGTGTATATATATTGTTGATCTTCAGATTTCATTGCAAGAAATTTATTGCACTCAGATTGTTTGTGGGGTTAGCTCAGAAGAATTATACCTTTGACCCCTCAATCAATGCTAGCATTTCATTCATTTTTTGTTTAACTAAAAGGTCAGCATGATGAGACCCACATTTTTTCTCACTAATTGCAGTTCATTGTACATCTCAAGGTTCACTTTAACATATTTCTCTTGTAAGAGGAAACATCAGGGAATGTCAGCTTTTAAGGGTGATTGAGGGTGATATTATATCTTAAGCAACAGCATAAACAACCAGGTATTGGCAAAACGAAAAAAGAAAAAGAAAAAGAAAAAGAAATGGAAAAAGAATGAGAAAGAAATCAATTGAAACAAGAGCGACTAACAATCTTATAAGTTTCCATCTATGGCATAGACTTGAAGAATAGAAAGCAATATTAGGTTCCTGAATAAAGAAAGGCATGGATTTTCTAGGGTACCAAAAACAAGAATTTTCTCCATGATGCCTTTTATTTATGCAAGATTGGGAGTTCCAGTTAGAAAATTACGTATGTAACAAAAACTTAGCACAGAATTGCAAGCAATAACTAAAATATGCAAATTAAGGTCCCACATATTATTAGTATTAAAATGAAATTGAAAGATAAGGGAGAACACACCTAAAATGGCCTAAAATCCCAGCTACAGCCATCGTCATCCCAGCAAAGTATGTGTATGTATCTCCAACAAAAGCTGAAGAAGGATACCTTAAATAAGGAGAAAGGAAATGGTAAATATTTTATGAAAGACGAGAGCCATAAACATAAGCAACTCAGTAAAATAATACAGAAAGCAACTCACCAGTTGTAAGAGAACAACGCCAATGAGGTGGCTAATAAGGGTTGGACAAGATATAGAGAGAATGCATGTGCCATCTTATACTCAGAATCTGCAGATGCTCCAATTTGCATGATATTGTGTATTAAAATCTGCAGATCAGTAGCATGTGTCATTTTTATAATAGAGCTGGAGGGCCAGTGTTTCACAAGTCTTTATACTTACAGCAGATGCAATGATGACTGTCTGCCCAACTTCAAGACCATTCAAGCCAGCATGAATGTTGATGGAGTTTGTACAGAAAACCGCCAAAAGTCCCATGTATAGCTTGTACATCCATCCTACATGCATAAAAAGAACATAAGATACAAATTCATTTCTCACTTTCTTAGAGCTATGCAACTCTTTTTATGAGCATACCTAGATCCAAAACCTCTAGCCCAACATATGGAATAAGAGGCTTTGGTATGATGATAGTTGTATGTCCAGCATAGGCCATCAGCAGAGGTAGAGCAGCAAAGGATGGCAGTAGTAGTTTCCTGCTCCCCACAATTAGAATAGGAACTCAGTTAATTTGGAGAGCCATTTTGAAGCTAAAATATTTTGCAATTGGTATAAATATCTAGAAATAACTGGATACTCACACCCTCCAAGGTATATCAAGAACATCATCTACAAATCCAAGCAATACCATAAAGCATATGGATGCTAATGCTGCATTGTACTCGACTAGCCACTGCATGATTGAAATGTTAACACTTTAGTCTTCCACCATCCAAACATGTGGCCACAATTTACAAACATGAAATTCAGTAGAAGAAGCCTTAGAAGGTGATACAAAAAGGATTGAAGTTCATCATGTCAGAAAATCAAAGAGTTGTTTCTCCAGCTCAACTTACATCCACTCCTACTAGTGCCATCATCAATCTTCATCCACACCTCAAAACCATGTTAGCTCTCATATCAGTTGTCAACTCATTCTAACTCTAATTCCACAATGTCAGTACTTCTAGTTTATCCTTTCTTATTTTGCCACTTCTAGTTCATTATTTTCATTCCAGCAGTCCTCATTACATAGTAACAATACAAAGCACGGTTATTTTATGCTTATCCTACAAAACTCTAAATTAAAAGTTGTAGCATTCACTGCCCTCAGCAACATTAGTTGCAAAATAATAATAATTATAAACACCGGTTCTCACCACCATATCCTCTACTGTAATCCATTCAGTATTCCCCAGACCACATCATCACCAGTGGGGCCAGCTCTTCCCTAAGACCATAACACCATGGCTTAGGAGCCCAAAAAAATTAAAAGTCCCCATGTATTTACTGTTTAATAAAAGCTAACTTTCCTCTTCTTCTTTTTTAATTTTACTTTTTTCCTTAATGCGCTATTTAAATTTTCCCACACTATACAATAGTTTCCATACATATTACAAAGAGGAAAAACAGCCCTTTCATCCTTTGTCTCTTATAAATTATCACAATTGTTCTTCTTTTAGATATTCTTTCACATAAGAAAAATCGCTACAGAAAACCTTTAATCTACATTTCCTTTCCTCTTTTAGACTCTTTTTTCAAATAAAAGATTTAGATAATCAAGAAACATAACATTATCAATTGATATATTAAATACCAGAGGGTCTTGCACTTTTAGGCTCTAGTTGTTGACTTTAATCACCACCAGTGCCATTCCCTCCAGCCTACCATCATCACAAACCACATTAAGCTAAGGACCCCTACTACAGCAAGCATACTCACCGCACCACCATGGCTCATTGAGATTTGCTGTGATCTTATTATGCATTTTGATCTCCCTACCCCTCAAGTGGTGGGAACAGTTTCTTCCCTAATGCCTTTAACTATGTAAATAACTACATTTAAAAAGTAGACAAACAGATAACAAACAAACAGGAATTCTCATGTTTCACCAAAAGCTAATAGTTTCACCTCTGAGCAACAATAAATTGCAGAAATTGTAAATTGAAGTAAAGTTATGTTCCTGTATTCAATGAAAGAGAGCAAACTTACATTTGAATCTGCAGTGAAGTTGAAATACTGGAATAAGATTCCCAAGACCAAGAAAACAATTCCAACAACAATACCCAATGACTCAGGCCTGTAAAACACAAATGGAACATTAACTATAAAAGATAAGTTGGGGGTATGAAACATCATATTAATATAATAGACTATTTATATTTTGGAAAAGAAAAAAAGGATCTTCTCCATTGCACACTTCATAGTATTCGGATTTTGCATTTTCCAGAACAAACATTCTGAAATAGAAACCAAGATTTCTCACTAAAATCAATTTCTAGGGAATACAAAAGGAAAAGCCAAAGGATGATAATCACAGTGCCTTGATTGTCCATAATCACTGATGCTGCAAATCATCAAACTTTCCATAAACAACAGTCTAAACAATGAGCTCCAAAGACTCGGGAACAGAGATGAAACAATTGAGCTGCAAATTTAGCATGCAGCATAGGTTCTGCCCTTAGAGATTGGAAACGGATAAACTTAAATTTGACATAGCTCACAGCTATATAATTAAACGGACAATTCCAATGCATGAAGCAGAGTAAGTCATTTAATATTCAGCCAGGATAACATATAAGAACTAAAGACAATGCCCGGTACAGGAATTTGGTTAACAAAAAAAAGTATAACACATGCCAAGCTGATAAATTTGATTTAAAAAATACCAAATCTTGACCATGCCTGATTCATAACCATAGTCAAATCCTTAATGTAACACATACCCAGTTCATCAATTCAATCAAAAACCAATCCTAGCACATACCAAAAAAAAAAAAAAAAAAAAAAAAAAAAAACAGATAACTAATATATCTTGAACAAAGACTCACACTTTGACAGTGCCCTGCGGGGTACCCTTTTTGTTAATGTCATAACCAAAGAGGTTGCGCCTGAGAACGTATCTGGAAGCCACGGGGATCATCTTAACGGTGACAAAGAACCCGGCAAGGCTGAGAGCCGCATTGATGAGAATCGATTTTCGAAGCTCATGTTCGATCTTGTAGTGATAGAAGATGAGATAAAAGTATGGGACTGAGAAGAAGAGCGTGAGCTTGAGAATTACACCTGACTTTGGCGGTGCAATTGGCGGTTCTGTTAATGGAGGTTCTTGGGGCTTGGGTCGTGTGGTGGTATCGTTTGGTTTGGTTTGTGCGGACGAGTCTTTTGAAGCTCGCTTTCGAGCTGCCATGGCTCTCTCCCTCTCTCTCTCTCTCTCTCTCTCTCTCTCTCAATATTGGTGTCTCTGATCTGAGCAATGTAGTCTTCTCTTCTTCTCTTTAATTTCTTATTTTATTTCTTTTATTGAAACTCTGCGTTTTGACCCGGCGAGTCGTGACTCAAGACTGTCCAGTTACGTTTCTCGTTGTCGTCATTGCTCCAATAGAATTCTGCCACCTCATCAGAAAAATTGGGCTAGAACTATTTTCTCAGAGTCATACAATAATGCTACAGAGGGCTTTGAGAGGTTGTGGATGTGGATGAAGGCTGAAGCTTTGCCTTTAAAAAATAAAAAAAATTACTGGCTCCTTGGAAAAAAATTGCATACAAAAGTTCTATGTTAGAGAGGCTCCTTATATTGGGCTACTTGAAAACTGATAATAGATAGGAAAACCAACATCATATTATCATATTAATATAGAAAAACCTTAATATAGGAAACCCAATTAGGACAAATTATCTATCTATATATATAGCAAAAGGCAGAGAATGGTGAAACATTCAAAATACCATAAAATGTCTTTGGTTAATTCAAACATTAAGAATTGAAATTATTTATTAAATGAATATGATATGGTAAATTCACATTTTTTTCATATTAAAAACAAATTAGATAATAGATCCCACTTTTATAGAAAATACTACCCATGTTATCTTTTGTTAATTCTAAAAATAAATAAATAAATAATAAATAAAACCATATTGATTGATAAACTAGCTGATTTTGATTAATTACTGCATAATTGGAACATAAAGCATACCCTTTGTGAACAAGTGAATATTGAAAAGTGATCATAATGGTTACAGATTAATGTATTTCAGTCAAAGATTAATCGTTTTATTAGTCCCTGAACTTAGACCCGATTTGCATTTGAATCCCTCAATTTCTAAAATCTTTCATGTGGTCCTTCAACTTCAGTTACGTTAGGACAATTGGTCCTAACATCAATTTTGTTAATTTTTCTATTAAATGCAAAGGTAAAATGGTATTTTTTTGTATTAAATTGATTAAAATATGAATAAAAAATTAAAAAGCTCAAAAATTAAAATTAAACTCGCTCACTCCCCCTATATCCTAATTTCTACTCCCCAAAAACTTGATTTTTCTTTTTTTATTTGATTTTCTTTTATTTTTATTTTAAAGATATGATTTTTTATTCTTTTTTTTATTTTAACATAAAAATACCATTTTGCCCCTGCATTTAATGGAAAACGTTATCAGAATTGACAACAGGATCATTTGTCCTAACGAAAGTGAAGTTAAAGGACCACATGAATGATTTTAGAAATTGAATAACTCAAATGCAAATCGGGTTTAAATTCAGGAACTAATAAAATGATTAACCCTTTAGTCAAATCTCTCATTCAGACTTTATGAATTTTTCAATAGATGAATATCATTCATATATTAGTTGTCCCTCTCTCTCTGAAAAGTGAGTAATAAACCTCCAAGTAATTAATATTGATGAATTTGTTAGTAGTTGACTGTTGGCTTGGAATTATAAGTTTTTTATATTAACATCTTGCGTTTCACTGATTTTGTTTTTAATTTTCCCCTCCATCCATTTTTTTTTTTTTTTTTTTTTTTTTTAAGAGGAGCGGCAGCCAAAATCTGAGGTATTCTCTTCTTTGTTTAGATTGGTTTTAGCCAAAACTGCTTGTAGTATATAATTTCAAAATCTATTGGCTGGTTTCTGCTTTCCTTTTTTTCTTAGTGTAATGTTGACAAGGTGTCTCTCTGGTTGTACTGGTGGTCTTGACTTGGGTCAAGACTAGTTGTTCTCTTGAGATGACATGCACACTTCAAGCAACTATCAGAAGAGGGGCAAACTGGTTGGATACCAGTTGAACCTCCTCCAATAGTTAAGTTAGAGGTGGTTTTAGAGTGGAAAGAAGAATGGAGAGTTTCAAAATGAGAATATTTATTATCCTTGTCTTAATGCAAGTGAAGAGTATTTATAAGGGGAGAAGGAGAGATCATATCTCCTCAAATCTTGCCAGAAATGAGATCTTCAGCCATTCTCCATCTCCTTAAATCTAGCTGAAGGGGAGATCTTTCAGTCATTCCCAACGGTGGGATCGGAGAGCAATTATGGGCACCCATCTTGGATGTGAAGCGCATTAAATGATCCCTTTCCATCACCATGCTGGTACTAGGTGCGTGAAGTGACTTGACTTTATAGGGATCTAGTTGTGTCAGAATATCAATGCTTCTGTCTCTGGTCATACGGCATCTTAGTGGTCGGGTCGGGGTTGCACGGTATCTCCTGACAAGCTCTGCTAGCAGGCCTTTTAGTGACACCTAGGGTGGTCAACCTAGTTGGGTCGGTATAGGGACGGCCTGGTCTCTTTTGGCCACGTGGTGCTCTCTAATAGGCTTGACTTATAATGATGATATGAACCATTAACACTTAGTTTTGGCGTACTAGTTTAGTTCGGCTTAGTCGTAATCTATATTATGTGGGTCAATTCCAAACTTAGGTTTCCCTTTCAAAGAAATTTGCCTATGTTACTTGTACTTTTTATGTTACATTTTCAGTTTGCTTTTCTTTTTTCTTGTGTGAAATTACATTAGTTTGATGTATTGAGGACATGAATTACAGTGTCTAGTGAGGTAACTTTTAAATATGAATACTTTTTTAATTGAAAAACTGGCTGTAATATTCATTTAAGCCTGAATATAGTTTTTATGGCTGTAATATTTAGTTAAGTTTATGACTTTTGTTGATGCATATTTGAGAACAAAAAATATATATATTAATGCTTGAAATGATTATTTTCATAGTTTAGAATTATAGCCTGTCCTGAATTGTTCCAAACTCAGGATCCAACCCCTTAGTCCCCCTTAGTCCAGCGCCCCATCAAACATAGGATAGAATTTAGTCGAAGCAAAGCCTTTCCTAGATAGTTCTCATAATTAGTCCTGTTCAAGCCAGTCTTATGTAACAAACATAGCCTATATGTATATGACTAAAACCAGTTTTGTGATACCCAGTTCGCTATTGATTGTAGTCATTGTGATATGATTTCCTGGCTGCTTTGGTTTCAGATTATTTTCTCATGTGTCTCTGTGTGTGTGTGTGTGTTACTTTGTACCTTTTGATTCAGTCAGGTTCTATTTGTAGATATTACTAGTTGGGCATGTGGGCATAAGGAGATCATGCTGGATCCTCAAGGAATTGTCTTAGCAAATATTGGTTACTGGATCCTCTGGGGTATTTCTCTGACGATTCTGAAAATAGATTTGTTATGGACAAGGATGGAAAGAAATTTACTGAAATGAAGATCATGCCACCCATGTTTGATCTACTTGGGTGATCTTGCATGCTACAAAGGATTGTATGGGGAGGAGGACTCCAAAGCTCGTGAGTATGCTGAAAATGATAAGGCAGAGAATACAATGAAGTTGGGAGTTGCATATCTGAAGCCCGAGTTAACCATGGAAGGGGATGAGGAAGATGAAGTAATCATTTTCAATCCAATAGTGGCTGAGAAGCGGCCTGATGTGGGCAGCCTATGAGGGCCTGGAGCCTGGTAAAAATGCTTCTCCATCAAACTGCTTTTAGTGCTGGTTCACAAATACCTGTATATGTTGCTAATGGTATACCCCAACGTTTGCAATCAATTCAGTCACATGCTTCCAAGCTGTCAATGGAAGCTGGTTTTGGTGCTGGTTCACAAATACCTGTATAATATGTTGCTAATGGTATACCCCAACGTTTGCAATCAATTCAGTCACATGCTTTGAAGCTTCCAAGCTGTCATCGTATCGGCCTGTCCAAGCAAGAAATTCAAAGAATTCCTCCAGACAACTGCATAATTGTGTGAGGTTTACTTGCTCTATGTGCAAAACCACATATTGGATCCAGCTCCGCATAGAGCAAGTCATAGACTGAAAATTTCCTTAGTTTCATTAATTAGGAATCTCATTCCTCAATTTTTTCTTTGTTCTGCCATGCTTATGTAGATATTTGATCTTTTCAATGACAACAACAATGGATATATCGAGTTTGCAGAGTTTGTGCAGACATTGAGTGTTTTCCACCCAAAAATCCCTGATGCAATCAAAATTACTTGTAAGTGCTATAGTCATGATACTATGATAGTAAATCCTACTTTGGCCATCTCCCATGTGTTTGGAATTTTTAGATTTTCAATTGGCATAGTAGCATGTCTTGCACAGAATCTTCGGCTGGTTTCTATGCACAAATATATCTCAAAATTAAGGTACTCATAAATGTAACAGCTTACTGGTTTTATGATTGAACAGAGTTATCCATTTATCATTCATTAGCCTATGGATTATATATCACTATTTTCTGCATAAATATCGTATGAAGTGTTCAATTTTCTGAATGGATATCCTTCGTGATTTTTGTTTTTAGCTGAGATATGAAGCACATTGATTATCTCACATGAAACCCATCTATGTTAACAACACTTGTAAGGAGATGATGCTGGCTCTTTTGAATGAATCCTATCTAATTATGCAGATGATATCGTTGAAATTATTGCGGACAAGGTATGGATTTGGCTCCATTGTTCCTCGATAATTGCTCTTACCCCCATTTCTGGTCTCGGCAATCATACATTCTTGTGTATGTCATGGACATTTACCGTTCACAGAAGCAGATAGAAATGCTAGAATCGATGAAGAAGAGTGGAGGGAATAAGTTGCAGAAAATCCTTCGTTACTCCAAGTGCTCCGATGGAATTTGTAAGGCAACTCATTAGTGACACGTGACTAATGAGTTGCATCATTTTGTCACGCTTAATTGAATTAGTTCAACTATTGACTTTGCTCTTGCTACTTGTTGATGTTTTAGTTGCATATGTAAAGTCAGTAAACTCATGGATATCACAAATAGGTTATGGTTATATTATAGTGTATTTTTGGGATTTATAATTTTGCGGATTTGGATTTTTTTAGAAGATCACCTTATGTGACAGATGAGGTGGACAACCATATCAATTAATATCATTTAACATTTTCTTTTTATTTATGTGGGATAAAAATTTGGTAAGTGTAGCATTACTCTTACTTTTTATATCTATTTTATTGCAGAAATTTTATTTTTAACATGAAAAAAACTGTAATTAATTCAATTATATTAAAAATCAAATGTAATGTGTAATTAATTTGATCCACCCAAAGAAAAAGGAATCCTTGAATTTAATGAGTAGGATCTACTAATTTGGTGTAAAATATACGTGTATGCAAACATCTTAAATTCAATGCATTCATTGAATTAAATGCAACGCAATTCCACCACACCGGAGTGCAAAAAGCTTTGGATAAATAGTGCACCAAAAGCAATTCTTATCTTGTTTGTTGGGCACGATAAAGCATGGGATTGGACTACTTTAGTCCAGTCTCACCTTTGATCATTAGATTAAGCTGGGGCAGGATTAATCATAATCTAGTCCCCCTCAAATAGTGTTGTGTGCCCCTCCTCATTATGTTAAATGATGAAAATGTAAGAGAATATTAATGATTCATGGACATCCATTTTCTTTCCTGAGGCACTTTTATGGCTTGTAATTAGAGTAGGAATTAATAGTAAGAGGGGAAGCATTGAATTACTGAACCTAATTATAGTCATACCTGATTAGCTAGATGATTCCCTTAAAATAGGATCCGGATCCTCTGCTTTGATTTTCTCTGCTATGATCTGCTTTACTTTTGTTCTCCACATGCCACCTCATTAAAATTTAATCTAAGGGGCTTAAATTGGACACATCTTCCTTAAAATAAAATTTCAATTTATATTAATTTAGAGTATTTTAGACTATCGCTTGTATAAAATTTATAATAAAAAAATTTTAAAAAAAAGGGGGCCATAGCATATGAGAAAATATAGACACTAACAAAACAAGACACAAGGAACTGATAAAAATGTAAATTTGAACTTCAAAGTGTGAGTGATATTGTATTCGTTACTTTCTTCTCCAAAGACCAAAAAAAAAAAAGGAAGGTGCCATTGATAATTTTTATGTGAATTTGGTCACATACAGCACACCCGAAAGAGAAGGAACCACAGAGGGCCACCAAAGTACTCAGAACAACAACAAAGGTGACTGAGTTCCCCCGACTGCAATCAGCATCAGCGGCAGCTCCTCCATCGATCACAGACTCTCTTACAATTAGCAGTCCTTCCATCGCTTCTCTCTCCATATATTTATATATAAATATAAACTTATTTTTTTCTTGGACGGATGAAAAACTAAGAATAAAACTTACTAAGAACAAATGAGAAGCAGTAAGTTTGGATGCATGGAGATACAGTACTGGGAAGGAACTATGAGAATGACAAAACTAAGGATACTTCTCTGTTGCTCACTTGCCTTTTCCCCTATATATATACTTCCACCAAATACCAAATTCAATAAATAAATAAATAAGATTGATTTTTAGTTGGACCAATAGGTCGTCAATGAGTTGTTTAAGAACGTGTATAAATTTGGTTTGTTAACGAAGCATGGCAATTAAAAATCTTATTAAAGCATTGTTTCTCTCTCATAATAATGTCATCAAACAAATAAAAATAAAGAGTTAACTATAGTTAAACTCATGGGCATGTGTCATCTTTTGGAAAGGGTGGTGAGGGTACACCTTAGTTTAAAGAGATGAGCAAAAATACTCCCAAATTAAAAATACGAGAGAATCTTTTGTATCCAATATAATTATAATTAAGCATAATTCTTTGTTATTTATATTGAGCATATATCTTATTGGAGTAGTAAAATATCTTTTAGTTAATGCAAAGTACATACAACCAACATAACCGGTAGATACATGTTAGGCAAGTTGGCCAAGGTTGTGCTTGTCTCGTTGCATCTAAGTTTGATTCTTCTTCCCGTACATTAGAGTAGTTTAAAATACCATATTGTCAAAAACAGATACATAAATACGTGGTGGAGGATGGATTGGAGACCTAGAAATTAATATTAGATAGATATGAACTTACAGGCACATATTAACATCTGCCTGCATGAAATTTCCCAAGGCATGACAACAGCTCCAAGATATTCAAATTATCATATATAAATCCATTGTGGGGAATTAAAATCATTGCTTCTTCATAAAGAAGACATAATATAATGATGACCCAAATTGAGCACAAATACCTTGGTCATTATATTAGAACACAAAAAAAAAGGCTTACAGGTGAAGGCACTACAAAATTTCCACCTCTAAACTTACACGCTCCTATTTTAGGTGACATACAAAATTGGTTTTGATTTTACCATACCTACAGCTTAAGTACAAGGCCTATAGGACAATGATCGCTGCCAGTTATATCCGGCAGAATGTACGAGTCATGAACCTTGTCAGCTATGGATTCCGAGACGAGGAAGTAGTCAAGCCGCCAGCCTAGTTCAAAATCCAAGTAAATCAGAGTTTTGTTAGAAGAACTAATAATAACAAAGAAAGCAAACTTTCAATTTATAAAACAAATTGCAAAGAAAAAAATCTAGCGTAAAATATAAATATTTTGGCCTCACACAGAAAATTGCAGAACAAAGTATGCAAATCATGAACACTTAGAATGTCTGGTTGAAGAGAACACTCAGAACAAAACTACATGTTTTAAATTAATACCGTTAACTACTTCAAATGCAATGGCAAATCTGAATTATCAAAACTATGAATATAGGAGTGGGAAATACCTCTATTAAATTTGCGTCCACCATGTCGATAACCCCAGTAAGTATAGCCAACAACACCAGGGTGTTGCCTTCTAAAGGTATCCACAAATCCCCTGGATAAAAAGTTTGAACCAAAGGATTGCCTTTCTTCATCTGTAAACCCAGCACTTCTTTTGTTTCCCTGTAGATGTATCAACAAAAAACAACCCCATAAATAAAACTTGGATTATATGACAAACCACTGGAGAGATTGGAGAGGCATAGCACTCCCCTACTTATGTTCAATTTACCACCTAAATTTTTCCATAGAAAATGTTAATATCTGGAGGGGATATGGCGAAAGTACAGGATTTGTTTTGAAGTGACACCACTGTAAAAATTGCTACCTTTACATCTTGTAAAACTCTTACAGGATGTTTAATTTTTATTCGCCGTTGAACTTACTGCTCAAGTCACATCAATCCAAAATCTCAAATCTTCTTGATTGATAGGTTGTCTTTGATAAAACTTATGTGTAATATTAGAGCACTAAATTCAACAGGTGGATTGTTGAAAAACAAATCCTATAAAACGTTATTCAGCAGTGCTGAACTTTACACCAATGTCAATTGTTCCTGCCTCTTAATAGTCCCTTCATATTCATACAAAGTCACCCAAAAAGCATACCTAGGATGTATGCTGCGTTTTCTTTTAAGTTGGATTAGGGGAACACCATCTCAAGTGCTACCAGTTATTATTTCATTTCAAGCTGAGGTGCTAAACAAGAGATACTTATCTAACTAAAGCCTGAAGGTATCCTAAACTGGCCGAGTTCAATAATACACTTTCTCTACTGCAGATTGAAACCAGAAATATGGCAATGGACATAATAGAATTCTAAGATAAACATTTTTTTGGTGATTAATTTGTTGGGTGAAGCTTGGTAGTCTTTATTTTGGTTCATTAGGTTGGTTTTAAAGATTTCATTTTTTCCATTATTAATATCAAAGATCTTGACTCATCTTAACATTTCATTGTCTTACAAAATTTAAAACGTTTAGAATCATTAAACATAGGCATTATCGTACATTATGTTATTTTTAAAAGATTTTTGTGAGTTGATATATTACAAAGAGTATATAGTTTTTCAAGGTTGAGTGATCAATCAGGGAATCATAAAAGTTCTTTGACAACAAATCAGGAAAACTTACAGCTGGGTTATAAATATCTATCTCTTGATGAGCACAATTCAGATCACCTGTTAAAATGACAGGTTTTGACTTTTCCAGCTCCTGAATCAACAATGAAAGCACCCATAAGCATCAAGAAATTACCACAGAATTTTCATAACTATGCTTTTTCAAAAGCAGATAAAATTTTAAGAAAATGAATATTCAACCGAACAGTATTTGTGCCCAATAAACTATTTAAGGTTATAAGCACCAAGACATGCCGTCTAGACCAATTTTGGATTCTTCAAATTTGAGGAGATATGACAGGCATGCACTAATCAGCCAGAAGAGAAATCAGTTTTCTAAATTTAGAATTGAATATATTCAAATTGAATTTGGTTGTGCTGAGTATTGACTTGAATATTAATATTAATATGAGGGTCACGCACTACTCTAGTAAGATGTATTCAACATAAATAACAATAAATTCTGCCTGTATAAAGGCATTGTGAAAAAAGGAATTAAGTCCAACAAACAAACAAACCCTGCTAGCAGAAAATTTTCTGAGAAAGAACAAATAAAACCACACTTACTTTCATGTAATTGCTGAGAGATGGATCCCATTCATTAATCCTGTATGACTAAAAAAATAAAATGGAGTTGTTAGCCAAGCAGAATACTACCCCATGTAATTAGGCTGCAAAGGACTCGAGGTCAATACCAGTCTTCTCAAACCATCTCCAGAATTAGGAACATATCCAGTTATCAGATAAAATGAATCAAACTCTGCTGTTATAATCCGCCCCTCACTATCATGATCTGATATGCCAATGCCATATCTGACTGAAAGTGGCTTTATCTGTCAGACAAAAGCCAATATTGACTAGCAGTTTAATAAGATAACCAAGATAAAAGAAGAAGAAAAAAAAGGTTGTTTTTCACCAAGATAGTTAAGAATGGACTTGATTAATCAAATTCATTTCATTCTTAAATCCCAGTAACGAAAGTAACATTTGCAAATTTCTTAGGCAAACATAGCCAGTCTATATTTCGAGCAATATAGCATACATTTAGAGAAAAGAATAATTAACAGCCACATTTCTATTCTCAAAATCGCATTTCCTTAAAAAAAAAATTCTTAAACAACCTAGAAACAAGACTCCGCTAATCACTAGACCCATAAGTTCCAGGTTCAGTATTGGTTTTAAAAGCTCACGTATGTGATAAAAGACAAAGGAATCTCCATTTTGTTAAAAGCTCAATTATGGGATAAAAGTTAGGCTGACAGCCACGACGCTATGCAAGACGCATAAATGGATAGTATTATACACAACAAAGAGAAATAATCAAATGCATGTTGTAAAGACATGAAATTGACTGTCATCATGAAGAAAGAATACAGTATACCCTTGAAATAATTGCAGTTCCTGAATAACCAAGCTTGGAAACACTACATGTCCAGAAGCTATTCTCATACCCATCTATCAGAGACCTTTTCACATCTTCAACATCCTTCTCCTGTTCCCAAACTTAATAAATGTGATTATACATAACACAAAAAATGCTATAAGAAAGCTATATTTGTAATGAACACTAGAAATTAGCACATTAAGATGGACACCACATTTACAGAATTGAAGGAAAAACTGACTGACTCCATTCAGATTTTTTAACCAATAATGTCCTCGAAGCACAACACCATAACTCATAAGGTTTAGCTTGATTGTCTCAACTAGAAAAAAGAATTTAAAATTACCCGTGACACAAATAAGAATATTCCAGTTCCAAAAAATTCAATATTTTGAATGGAATAAATATTTGAAACTTTACTAGTCACAAGAATCCAATCCTATTCACAGGAGAACCTACCTGAAAATGAATTTTGAGCCTTAAATTGGCCCATAATGTTAATACAAAAAGAATATTAGGCAATTCATGACATTTCTTAACAGGATTGTCGCTCAATGCTCAACATGTGAGAGGGCTTAGTATAGAAGCCAAAGAGTCAGTCAATTCTTTACCAATCACAAAGCAATATATGATGTTGAAACAAAAAAATGTAACTGCAAAACAATGATGTGTCAACAGCATCATCAAACAAGAGTTTAAGCTTTAAGAAGCAAAAATGAGAACTAAAATACTTGCCTGCAGTTTGGTCTCCTGCAAACACAGTACATCAAAATCTTCCCTTTGGGCTAGCTGCAAAGCAGAGAATCCCTCTAACTTCAATAATGCCCTTAAACCATTGACATTCCAAGACATAAGCTTCAAAAATTGAGTATCCTTAGCAAGCGGTGGAAGTTTCATGGTTCTAGGATTATAAGGAATCCAATCTTTCTGAGGTTTCTTATGCGCAAGAACTGTCCATGGCTCAGCTACTTTATCATCAGTTTTGACATCAAAATTAATAGTTTCTGAAGATGTTTTCTTTCTTGTCCCCAAGAGCTTCTGACCTGGATAGAAAACAACGATACACCAGTCCTCTTCATTAATTGAACTGAACCCAGATAAATATATGAAATAAACTCAATTAAGAAGATTCGTGGAATCATTTTACAGAACCTGAAAGGTCTTCTGATTCAATTGACAACTTCTCCTTTTTCGTTGCAACCTTGCTATAGCCTATCACAGTTTCACTCTTAACTGACAAATGGTTTAACCTTCTCTTGTAACGTTGAAGTTCACCAACCTCCGAAACAGGGACATTCTGAACTTGGTCTCCATCAGATGATGTTTCAGCCTCAGTTTTCTCTGATGCATTTTCAACACAAGTGGAGGCTACTTGTTCTTCTATTACCAGGGAACCTTCACCTGAAAATGAAAAGGAACTCCTAACCATTCAAGCCCACAGAATAAGGCAAACGGAAGAAAGAGTTTGGAATCATTATTTTATAAAAAAGTTTCTTCTTTTGCTACATCTTCAGAGAAGTACATGAGAATAATAGATATTACCATCTTTCTTCTTTTCCAAAAAGCACTTCAAGGCAGCCACAAGTTCAAATTTACGGCCTTTGGCAGAAACCCCAGCATTTCTGACAGGCAATTTAAAGTTCCAAATCATTGTAGAACATTTAACATGTACAACCCAAGGACACCATATTGATCAACACCATATAATCGTTAACTTATTCCACTATCCATAGAAAGAAAAAGAAATTACTATGTTTATAGAGGGAACATTCCTATTGGACTCACAAGGAAGGAATTAACACTTGGAATGTTACCTCAGTGTTGTTCTGAGTTGTTGAACTGTCATTGCCTCGATTCTCGCAGGGTCGTTCTTAAAACTCTCAATCTCAACCACATTGCTTTCAGCACCATCATCCTAAAAGATTTAATCAATCAACATCAAACTAATGCAAACTACCCATACCCAACATAAAAACAAGAACAAAACAAAAAATACAAAAATCAGCATAGAGGCATGACATATAACCTTGACAATAGATTTATGAGGGCTTGGGTTTGTACCCATTGATTCTTTGAATGTCTTTTCCTTTTTATTTTCCTCAAACATGGGCTTTGTTGTTTTAGCGGAAACGGGTCTTCTAGGCACTCCTTGAGTTGCTCGTAATCTAGTAAGAGAAGCCAATGCTCCAGTTATCAAATTCCTTGGAGCTACTGCAAAGCTACCGATGTTGGTCAGTCATTTCAACTGTAGCTGAAATTACTATGAAATTGAAACGCAGAAAGTATGTAAAACACAGCCAAAAAAAACAAATTAAAATATAAAACCGGGTGAGACTGAGAAATGTTTTGAACCCTAATTGCAGAGGTTGAATTTGATTCATCGCCTACTACGAAGAAGGAGGAACTGAGGATAGAGAGTCCTGCACTGCACCTTTTTGGTTTTGTTTCTTTTCATTTTTCGGGTACGAGGATGAATAATATGACCCTCCAATGCAGTGAAAACACGTGCGGCCGGTTAAGATATCCGAAGTATAACCTCTGTGGCTCCGTTCAAAAAAACAAAACAAAAAACCCCTCTGGGAAATCTGATTCTTAAGTTTTAGGTATTGCATTACAAATTACTTTTCTTCTTTTTCTTCTTTTTAAAAAAAAATAAATAAATTGATATCCTAGACTATTCCAAGATACAGGAAAATGGATTGAACTTGTGTGTAAAGGGACGGGCGATATTCTAGATTAATTTTCACGTTTTAGGTATTGCATTATGAATTGTTTTTCATTCTGAATGTGTTCATAAATATCAAGAAATTTTGAATAATTTCAATACTCATGTATTACATAAGAAAGAAACCCATGTCAGTACAGATTTGAGCATCCATCTTCTGTACTACAATAGATGGATGCTCAAACTTTTATATGATTTTGAGGCCATTATCAAGAGGTGGTTTTTGACATTATACCAAAAGTGGAAAATTTATGTGGCACATTAAGCTACAGAGACTTTAGGTAATCCTCTTGGATTATCAAGGAGTGCAATAAACTCGTGTGACATTATACTAAAAGTGGGAAAGATGAGATAAGAAGTTTTTTTTTATAAAAGGCGATAAAATTTTATTAGATCAAAATGAATAATGAGTACAAAGGACACAGACTGTAAAGAGAGGCATTCCTATAACAATATGGCAGTCATGTGTAAAACTTCTCCAATGACCTGAGCTAGCCGAAAAACTAACACGATCTGGAGAGAATCACTCTCGAAATTAACTTTTCTAAAACCCCTTTCAACCGCCATAATTTCCCCTAATCTAGTCCAATGACATCAAAAACCAAAACTAGCTGCTAACCGGCATGACTCTCCTAGATAGATTAAGAACACCCAGCAAACTCTAGGAAACTCTAACAAACATAGAAAACTCTAACAAACTAAATTAAAATAAATAAAAAAACCTAGAACAACACCAGAAAAAGGAAAGCCAACTGCCTGATCTTCCTTTGGAACATGACAAAGGGAGCGCCATCTAATTACTCGAGGGCATCAATGTGCTAGTGCATAGTGAATCTACCATGACCAAGCCGCAACACCTCAAAGAGGAGCCTCGCAAGAAGAGGCACTACCAAAACCGACTTGTATTTGGGACAATAGATCTGCCAGAAGAAGAGTAGATCGACATATATCCACCTAAAGCCGGAGAACACCCAAGATTTGACGGGATCCAGGGGAAAACCCCCGGATATGAAGGTTTCTCTCTCTTTTTCTTTCCCTCTCTCTTAACGGCTAGGGTTTGTATAATTCTACATAGATGAGGTAAGAAGTTAAGAACCCTAAATGACATCAAAGTTTTCCTTTGGTGAATATAAAAGTTAATGCGGCTAATGCAAAACATCAATGACAATGTCATTTTCATCATTGAGATAAGGGTTAATGACAGTTTAGTACCCTATGTTTATACCTTTAAGATGTGTTAATCCTTATGTTCTCAATATTTATAATTATATACCTGGTCTTTTAAATTTTTTACAATGTGGTTCCACCGTTAGGGTTTCCATTAGATCTCGTTGTTTGTTGCCTACTTGGCACTATGGGTCCCATATTTTCATTTTTTTAAATTCTATGTTGATTAACCAGCGCCCGCCTTCCCCCTGGTCGATTTCTTCTCACTGACCACTGTCCATCGCCCACATCCCAACCTCCCACCCCCATCAAAGCTCTAGCCAACCTCTCTCTCTCTCTCTCAACTATAGTATAAAATATTGATAATATCAATGAAATATCGAGGATATTATCATTTTTTCTATTCAAGAATATTTTGGAACGTATCAATACGCATATCGTATAAATATTAATAATATCAAAAAATATTGATGTCAATAATTTCTTTCACACTTCAGCAATATATTTGGCCAAAATATTGCTATTATATCGATATGATGAAGATAATGAAAAATTTGAATAGTTATTTACACTAACACCCCCTGAGGTTTCTTGTGTTTTCACAAAACCTTCTCAAGTCTCAAAAATTACACGAACACCACCTGAGGTTTCAGTTTGTTTTCACAAAACCTCTTTTTGTTGATTGTTTGTCCAAAAATTGATGATTACATTTAAAAAAAAGGGCTAACTTCAAAACACCCCTTTAGTGTTTAGGGTCATTTTCAATTTGGACTCTGGAATTTCAATTTCATCAATTTACACCCCTAATGTTTTAAGATTCGATAAATTTACACATTCCGTTACTTAGACAGTCTAGTCTTCTATTAAATGAATGACATGGCAAATGAGGGGCCAACTTTTGCGCTGATGTGTCAATACAACTCATTAAAACATCAATAGTAACATTTATTTACAAAACAAAAAAAAAAACATAAAAAACAAAAAACCAAAAAACCAAAAACAAAAAAAAAAAAAAAAAAAAAAAAAAAAAAAAAAAAAAAAAACAAAAAACTCTCTCTCTCGACCCACTATGTTCTTCCTCCCTCTCCCCCTCTCTTTGTCAACAACCCAACATTCATGAGGCTCTTGATTGTTAACCCCAGAATCGCGATTCAACCGTTCACCATTTGGCTATACAGATTGAACCCGAAATCCAACTTCAACCCACCTGACGCTAGCTCCTTAAGCTGCATCGGTGGAAGATGCAAATTGGACCCGGATAAGGACCAGACCCGCTTTTCGACTTCCTGGTCTTCTAGAGTTCAGCTTTCTTGCCAGCTCCGTTGCGATAACAGAGTCGGACCTGGCTGAGACAAGTGCTCCAAAGGGGGTGTTTTCGAGTCAGTTGCTCGAATGGTGAAGAAAAAGAGGAGTTTGGGTGTGTGGGCTTTGGTTGATGAGGATGCAAAAGGGAATGGGTTCAAGAGTTGCAGAGACTCTTGACTATTGACGAAGTGGGGTTTTTGTGTATGTTGTGATAGGAGTGGATGCTACAAGAATGGATCACATCCTATTTGTCTTTCTGGGTTGGAATTGGTTGACTTATATAGTCATTTGTATAGATAGAAGAAGTAAAGGCTTCAACCAACCTCAGTTATTGGCTATGGAAATTTCATTTGCAGAACATGTTTGATATGTCGCTAGTGGCTACATCATTTGTTATTCTCTTAAAACATGTTAGTTAGTATCTTTTCAATTTTTACACTGACATATCTCGGTCTTTTAAATTTGTTACAGTATGGTGCTACAATTAGGTTTTCATCAGATCTCTCCGTTAATTGCCTATGTGGCATTGTGGGTCCTATATTTTTTTCTTTTTTTAATTTTAAATTGATTAAATATAAATAAAATATATATTTTTTAAAAACAAATCTCTCTCTCTCTCCCCGAGATTTCTTCATCCCCATGACCACCACCTACAAGCTCCAACCCCCATACCCATCCCACAGCCACCCTCCACCCTCCACCCCAACCCGCAACCACAGCCCCACGAACCTAAACCCAGCCCTGATTTCTTCACTTCCCAGATTTATTCCCCCCCTCCCCCGGAGCCGATTTCTTCCCCATTCCTTCCTCACGCCCAAGATTTCCTCATGAATCCTACTCCTCTTGGTTTTTCTGTAAATAACTTGAGTTGAGTTTATGAAGATGGCTTCTAAGCTGGGTTTTGAGTCCTGTTGGGTTGACAGGGCTGTCAATGGTGCATGGGGACTTTTGAGTGAAAAGGAGGTTCTTTTGTTGAAGGTCTGAGGACTTTTTGGGCTGATTGTTGTCCATGGATTTTCAGAAGAAACTGAGAAAAATGCGAGACCAAGAAACAAACGGAAATGAGGTGCCAAGAGAGAGAGATTTTTAATTTTTAATTTTCGGTTTTTTAATATTTTATTCATATTCAAATTTTTAAAAAAGAAAACACATGTAGGGCCCATAGTGCCATGTAAGCAACTAAGAGAGAAATCTGATGAAAATCTAACGGTTGATCCACATTGTAACAAATTTAAAAGACTAGAGTATATTTTTAATATTTTATTCAAAATTTAATCAACTTAAATTTTAAAAAAGCAAAGTTGTAACAAATTTAAAAGACCGGAATATGTTATTGTAAAAATTAAGAAGGTAAAGATTAACACGTCTTAAAGATGTAACCACAGGTTACTAAACCGCAAGTAACCTTGAGATAAAACATCTCTGTATAGGAAATGACACTATGAGTATTATTATGCCTATTGTTAACCCCATCCAATGTGTATGAACAAATAAATATGAGGGGCCAAGAATAATGGATTACAAACGCAGGAAAAATCAGACGGTTTCCGCATAGAGCTACCATGTAGGAAAATTAAGAACCTGCAATCGAAATCCCCTCTAACCTCAAAACTCTGCAAAATCTCTAATCTAAGCCTGTAATGAAATGTACATCAGCGCTTGGGTAATGATCGGGAAGAACCCCTCGAAACTGAGAAACTGAAACACCTCATCTCAACAGCCAAACCTGTTTCTCTCACTCCCTCAACTTTTCGCTTCTACAAAAATTTCATTTCTCAACGCTTGTTCACACAGGAAGCTGGATTTCGACGAAGCCTGGGTCATTGTGATTCGGAAAACAATTGTGTTTCAATTGGAAAATTATCCAAGCCAGGAGGAGATAACGGTGGAATTGCCGAGAGGTGAGAAGCATCGTCTGTGAATCCCAAGACCCTTCTGGCAGTTGCTTGAGAATCTATTATTTTACCAATCTTTCTTGAAGTAATTGCTCCTGATGTGGATTCCCTAGAGGAGTTGCTACTTTCCACAGATGACAGGAACTGATCTTTTGATAAAGTTGTTTGTGCAGCTGATGCAATTACGGAGCTGAAAACACCCGATTCCCTCAAACCTTGTACGATGACCTGCACCAGAAAGAAATCAATAGGCTTGAGGATTATATGCTCACAACTATAATACCGGCATACAAAATTAGTTAACATATTATTTAAACCAAGAAAGAAAAACAAAGCAGGCTATGGAACTTACCATCGGTGCAAAAATTCGAGTCAAGATGCCCTTCCTCATAAGTTTTAAGTTGAGCGCTTTGTCAGTCCACACAATGCGTTCCCGGTACCTAAATCAACAGAAGGGAGTTCTACATTAGAAAGCTTAACACATTTCAATTTGCGACCTGTTTAAACCTGATTATCAAGGAGTTTTGGCCATTTCTTGTTTGAAGAAATACTTTTCTTTGTAGGAGGCTAAATGACAACTGTTACTAATCAAAAACTAGAAAACCCACAATGAAATGATTCATGTCACTTAGTGCCTAAATGTTTCCGCACTGTCACATGACAAGTGATGCCACACAAGCTCTATTAAAATCTAGTATAGTGAAATCTTTTGGTAATTTTCATAAACTATTACCAGCTAAGCATTTCCTCCTCTGTTGCAGTTGAAGCAATTATGAATGCCTGTCGAAGATAAAGGGGAAAGAAGTGTAAGCAAGCAGGGACAACTGCACTAATACATACAGGAATTGACACTGAAAAACCTATATACAGAAAAGAACAGTTCCGCGACATCTCCAACAAATCTTCAAAATATACCACAAAATTAATGATCCTAACAAATTTACACATGACAAACATATATCAAGCCTAAAATAGCTGGTATTATGTCAAGGGAACAAATCAGAATAAAACATAAGGAGCCTAAGAAAATAAGACTGACATGATTTCCAGCTGAAGGGGGGGTAAAAGTAAAATACAAACGATGACACACGGATAAGAACTCACAGCTCTATCAAATTCCAACATGAAGCATCTCTTAACGTCCTCCTTGGTAGGTTTGCAACCACACCGATCACGTCTAGAGGTCAAATCTGAAAATTTCGGATATGTATAATGCAGAACAGCAGCCTCATCCAATTTGATCTCACTATAAAACATTACAAGGATAAAGAAGTAAGTGTTTATATAAACTTGCCATATTTGACCATAATTTAGAAACCTCAACATTTTGTAGATAAACAGAACACCAGTAATCAACTACGCGAGGAAAGAGCTATTATATTAAAAGAAAGGACATTGTCCTTTAAATTGAGAAAAGGTTGCAATGACTAGTCAATTATAAAAAGATGGACAGAACTATTATATAGGTACATGTTTAGAAAGTTGATAAAAAAAAATTTAGATAGAATGGCCATACTTTGGTGTCTTCATATAATTGTGCCATCTGTGTGCACCGTTAGGGCGAAGGTGATCTTGAATTCGAGCAGCTGATTTCCCATTTCCATATGTTAGAAAATAGTTTGGATTACCCCGGGTTGCTTCTTTATAATTTCCAAAATATACATCCTTTGGAAGATGATCATAGTTCTTTTTGAACATCGACACCTACAACACCATAAACAATAAATGATATTAGTGGATGGAAATTTTTTGTGTTGTTTTATTAAAGCAAGAAATGTAATGATTTTAATAGCATACAAAATAAACTTAGCAGCTTCCCTGGTCGTGCATTTGGCAAATTTTTTATTTGTGTTGTTTCATTTTTGAGAAATCATGCTGCTCCAAAATTACCAAAAACAATCTATAACTGAACACAAATCAATTTTTTTCAGGGCATGAAAATATATATATATATATATAAAAATTTTAAAGGAGAGAAGAAAAACAGCCATGGAGACCATGTTCCTGACCTTCACAAACTATCAGTTCTACCTGGTATTACAAAACTTAGACAGAAAGCATTGGAAGAATGAAATGGAAGAAATTATACCTCACTGAAAGGGTCCTTGATATCATCTTGTTCTACACTACTTTCCTGAGAAAACAGAAGCATGTGTGAGCATAACCGAAACTTTTTTCTCACATTAACATTAGTGATAAATTTGAAATGCAATGAGTGGGGGTAATTTCTTGACATGAATATAAATGCATCATTATTCTTCTTAATAAGACAATATAAATGCATCATTATTTTTTAATAGGACAATATAAATGCCTCATTATTAACAAGACTAAAATCCACATTCAATGACGCGGTCCAGCTAGCAGGCATGGGCTTAGCCAAGTTGGCTAGAGCGGATGTGCTCCCCACTTTGCACCCAAGTTCGAATCCCCCTCCCCGTAGTTTACGTTAGATTAAAGCAGATTATCGTTTGTATCAAACAAAATGATGCAATCTAGCTAATACTATAGAATTAGCATTCCTCTAGAGAACTAAGCTAAAATACTGTACCGAAGATTCTTCTAAATCTTTTTTTTTTCCTGGCTTGGCTATCCCACTTAGCCGAGCCATTTCCTTTTATGCTACCAGAGTTTGAATAATGGAAGACAGCCACTCTTCACTGTATATTCTATGGCCTCACATGGCATCTAATGCATGAAAAGAATCTATCTCAACAATCACTTACATAATTTGGAAAGACAACCATATCAACATTTCTAGGCACATCGGACAACAACTGTCTCAAAGAGTACTCCTGAGTGCCTGCTGGATATATTAACTCATCGGTATCAAGATGGATGATCCAATCCATGCCAGCCTCCTACAATGGCAGAAGAAACTATTACAAACTTTATCCAGATGACCAAAGAAGCAATTGTGATGAATTATGCAATGCAAGATAAATTACATACCCTTGCCATGACAATAGCCATCTCCATGTTAAGGGACTGCTTCACAAACAACTCATAATTACACGGTTTATAGAAGAAGCTTGACAGCCATGTCTCATTCCAAATCCGACTGAGCACCGCACATATAAATTTAGAGACAAAACAAAAAGTATGAATAACTTATCAGATCAATAGTAGTAAGAAAAATGAAAGAACAACAAAACTGTCTTTGTCCATTACAAATATTCAACAAATGAAGAATCTCAATTAGTATTTTTCCATGTTAAAGGTCTGCCTACACCTGGGATTGAATTGCACTTCAACAAGGAAGAAGGGAATATCGATCATCTGTTCCTCAATTGCCCAAATGCAGTTTCATTGTAGAATAAGTTCTTTGCTGTGGCAAGGTTGAATTGGGTGATTCCGGGTTCTTGTGTTCAGTTATTTGTTGAGAAAAATTGTGCCCCCGGTAAAGGATAAAAGGAAAAATTATTGTGGAAGTCCTATATGTTGCCTATTTTTTGGGTGGTTTGGTTAGAATGAAATGCCAGAATTTTGAATAAAAACTGGTTGTGGAAAAGAATGTTTCTGGCCTCTGTTGGCTTCAATCTCTACTGCATTTACAGATATGTTGGTGATTCGTTGTGTAATTGAGTGTATCCAAAGGACAGGACAGCTTCTATTTTTGTCTTGTTTTGCAGGTGGCCTTCTTGCCCACTGCTGGACAGCGTTATTTTATGCTCATGACTTTATTTAACAATGTCTCATGACTTATATTTAACAATGTCTCTCTCTCTTTTTATTTTCTCCTTTAACAACATTCATCTCCTTCAAGTTAACACTCTCGAACTTAAATGTATTTTGCACATTTAAAATCTACAACATTCAAAGGTTCTCCAATCATAACTCTTTTAGTTTTTCATCAGATAATTGGGGAAAGGATCCATTCAATACATTTGGCACACTAACATCGAAAGTAAACTTCTTTATCTCACACTTACCCATTTAAGAGGCGAATTGGAGAAAATAAAATAACCTATTTAAAATGAAAGGGTACCAACCTTTTAGCCTGCTGTTCCTCCAATTCCCTTGTCCTGTATATAACCTTCACTCCCTGTAATACGAATTTTGTGTCCCATAAGAACTTGGATAGCCAGAACTTGAAGGGCATTAAACTTGTATATACATTATTTGATTGTTCACTAGCAAAAATTTTAAGTGAAGCATGCAACTTGAACTCACCGGAATGCTTTCAAAGACTTTGGATACATTAGGGGATGCAGCCTTGCCTTCCACAAAAAGGAAAAAGGTTGAAACTCCAATAACCTTATGATAAAAGATCCATGGCAACGTTTGCTCTAAACCAGCGGAAGTGCTTGTTTGAATGCATATCTGACATGTAAAAGATTACAGACGGTTCATAAGATGTCCATAAGATGTCACATGCATTATTAATCAGAATGACTTTAAAAATGCTACAGAAACCAAAAAAGTAATCTACAATAGAACAAATATCTATGATGCCCCATGAATGATCCCCAGTTCATATCACAATCACCACTAATCAAGCTCAACAAGAGACCTATATAAGCACAACCCAGATGCCAGATCCCAAGATCCAAACATAATCAACCCCCAAAGACTAGAAGAAACTCAAATCAAATCCCAAAAACCATCAATCCAATTCTATCAACCACAAATCACAGCCACAAAAACTCAATCAAATTGAACACAATAGAAAGCACACTGACCTTGGGCCTCAGATCGGACATGTAATCGAACTTCCAGTCCTTATAGTAGGGGAAGGAGGGCGAGTGGCTCCGACCCAGAAGATCGACGCAGTCGGAACCCGAAGAATGTGAAGCCTGGACTGGGGGCCCACCCAAGTCGACCATGCCAGGGAACTCGTGATGATCAGGTGCCCATCGGGTAATGGGGTCATTGAGACCGCCACGCCATTGGAGAACGAAGGCGAAGCCGGCGAGAGTTAGAGGGAGGACGGTGAGGAGCAAGAGAAGGCGAGAAGCGAAGGTCTGAAAGGAAGAAGATGATGCAGACGACGACGACGATGACGAGGAAGAAGAAGAAGAAGCCGAGGTGGGTCTGGAAGAAGAGTAGAGACCCGCCATGAGAGGTTGATGACAGACAAAGAGAATGAAGACAGTGGTCGTTGCATATATAGAGAGAGAGAGTTTTGAATTGTAACCGAAGGAAATGGGAGTTGGAAACCTGAAGGAGAGAGAGACTGCGAGAGACGTTTTGTCGTTGGTGGTGTTATTGCCGTCCTCAGATTTTTTCCCCCTTTTTTTTTCCCTTGCATGAAGAAAGTTTCCCTTTTTTTATATTTTTTAATCAGTATGATTCATGAATTTCGAACCTTACATGAAGAAAGTTTCCTTTTTTATTTTTATTTTAATCAGTATGATTCATGAATTTCGAAAGGATATTGTTTGCCTCTTTACCTGTACGGAGATACTGCTTGCCTTATATATAAAACTAATTCATTAAAAACATAAAAAGAAAAATTTCTGCACACATGTCACATTGCTAGTAACAGGAATGTAAGAATTCCTACTTACATGATAAGGACGAAAGTATTTTCCATTTCGAAATTGCAAGTCTCATCTAAGAAACTATTATTTGACAAAAGATATCTGTACAAATAAATAATAAAAAAACGAAAATAGCAATGACGATTTGAACAATATATGTAAAATGATTGATTAGTGAAGCTTGTCTTGTACATATATAATTTATCTTTACAAATTAAATTGCTATTTTTGTATGTCGTATTGTTAAGTTATAAAGTCACATCAGAATCTAGCAAGGTTATAATATTACATTAGTGATAATAATGCACTATCGACTAACTCACCTCATCATATATCTCAATCAAATAGTTGAATCTAAAGAGTTTGATGCTCCCACAAAAATATATTCAAGTAAGTGAATACCTTATTAATCAACTTGATAAAGCTCAATTAAAACTTTAAAAATATCTAATGTGTGAATACCTTATTAATTCAGTCCAAAAAACAAAACAAAAATAAACATACCTTACTAAGAGTGCTACTATTTTCACCTCATGTCATATTTATTCACTCATCTTATCTTCCCAGACACTATATAAATTTGAAAAAACACAATCCTATTTTTTCACCCACCATTATTCCTAAAATACTTTTTAATTATTAATACAAACAAATTCTCATCTTTATGAGGTTAGTATTAAATTAAATCAACCAAAGCTTCCCCACCCACCTAACCACGTCGACTGCAACCCCCCATGCTCGCCAGAAACACCTCACAGTCGCCATCTTTCTTTAGAGGCTATGGGTGTGAGTCCTGCCATGTTGTCCATTCGATATCTGCAAGGTTTTATGGCGGGTTCCATTTGGCGTTTGACTTTCTTTTCATCTTTGGCCATTTGGAATTTTCAATCTTTCAGGGTGTGCAAGCTTGATACTACCGAAATCATATTTTGCATTAACATTCTTTAAGAAAACAAATCATCTTTCTAGCATAAGATCAAATTTCCAACCATTAATAATTAAAATGTATTTTAGGAATAATGGTAAGTGGAAAGATATGATGTGTTTTTTCAAATTTACATGGTGGGTGGAAAGATAAGGTGAGTGGGGTAATAGGACAGAGGATTGGAAATAACAGCACTTTTTTTTAAGTTATAGGTTAGTCAAAGAGTTAATTAAAATTGTTTATTTATACAAGCGATATTGGGGGAAACGGGATTCAAACACAGCCCTTGCAATAATTGGAAATATTAATGGAGAAAATAATTGTGTATTTTGTACTCATGTTGGAGGTCCATCTTCATGACATAAAACTCATGAAAGATGTATGGAGAATTTGATGAACCAATCACAATATGTTGATGATCAAACCCTCCATATGCTGGTGGAACCACACTAAGGGCTACATTCACTATAGCCCAGTGAGGGTTTTGAGCAAAAAAAAACATCAAACCTATATATTTAACTTATTTAAAATATTAGCCCAATATAGATTAACTTATTAAAGGTAAAAAAAATCCAATTCTTTATGAATTTAGTTGCAGGCAAGCAATAAAAATACACATTAAAATAAGTACACTTTCAACATGTGGGAACATATATTTCACTTGCCAAGAAGATGACACGAGGAAAAGAAAAATATCACCTAGGTCATTAATTGGGCCCTTTTATTTGGTCAACTAATAGAGACCAAAAATAGGAATATTATCTTTATTTGGGAATATAATCACCAATTAAAGATAATATCACCAATTTGGGATATTATCTTATTTTGGGGATATTATCATCAATTAGGGATTTAATTCCAATCGAAATCTCTAATTGACTCAATCTCTCCATTTAAGGGAAAGAATATATTCCTTCCAAAGAGGAATTATTATTTGAAAAACCCTAGATGGCTAGAGCCCTATAAATACATAGCCACATTCAACACAAGAGGTAATTCTAAACCTAGATCTAAAAACCCTACACAATCACCCTCTCTCTCTCTCTTTTTCGCCGCCCCTCTCTCCCACTATCTTCACACAGCTAAGTGCCACCACACATGGTTTCGGCCACCCAACTCTCCCCATGAGAGAAAACTCCTTCCAATTTAGCTATTGCCGCATCTTTTCTCAAAGATCCAATTGAACTAACTTAGGCAAAGGAGAGTCTTTGGCCAACACCCTTCGGGTGTGGTCTTTTACTCCTATTTGTTTCGCAAGAACTGAGGAAGACAGAGAATGAAGCTCAAAGGGTGAAGATTCTACACGAGAATATTCTCCAGTGAGAAATTTGCACAAACATTTTGGGGCTTTCATTGTGAAAATACATATATGATGGCTTAAAACACTAAAAGCGTAAAGTCTGTGTTTTGAGTAGTTAAGAGTATCACGATAACAAAAATAAAATACGCCAAGGGGATTGATACGATGTATCAATCCTGTACAGTTCAAAACGTAAAAGCAGAGAAAAACACAAAGTATTTTACGTGGTAAAACCCCACCTATGGGGAAAATCCATGGAACCTGATAGTCCAAGGTAAATCCACTATGAAACAATGATTACAAGAACTATACAAACTTGTCCTAGACATTCTAGACAACGTACCAACTTCTTCGTAACTCAACTTCTAGCGGGATTTCTCCTTCTCTACTTATGTTGAATCCGATTCTTGATGCGATCGATCCAAACTCACCGGAGGTATGAGAACCTTATAACTTATGCAAATGAATGCAAGGACAAATGTAACATCCCACATCGACCAACGGAAAGTGGGTGATGTGCCTTATATGTACATGTCCACCTCCATCTAGCACGAGGATGGGTGACCCACTGAGAGGTTGCTCGTGAGTTCTCAAAAACAAAACCATGAGGGCAGAGATGGGGGCCCCAAAACTGACAATATCGTGCTACGGCAGAGTCGATCCTGGGATATGACAATTTGGTATCAAAGTCACTCTGCTGTGGTGTGAGTGTGCCGACGAGGATGTTAGGCCCCTAAAGGGGGTGGATTCTAACATCCCACATCGACCAACAGAGAGGGGGTGATGTGCCTTATATGTACATGTCCACCTTCATCTAGCACGAGGATGGGTGACTCACTGAGAGGTTGCTCGTGAGTTCCCAAAAACAAAACCGTGGGGGCAGAGAGAGGGGCCCAAATCGGACAATATCGTGCTACGGTGGAGCCAATCCTGGGATGTGACAACTCAAGAAATACTCTTGCTGATTTATCCTTATGAACAACAAAGCACTGCAACTTTCTTTTGTGTATTTGAAAACTCAAGAAATACTCTGGTTGTTGAAAGTTGTAATACGAATGAAACCAAGCCTTACCTTTTATAATGGTTTTCAAAACTGGAAACAAGATAATTAGTTCCTAATCAACAGATTAATTTTCCAAAATCATACTAATCGATCTCCAATCAAAGAAGACTTTTAATGTTCAAAATTGGAAAGCAATTTATAAAATAAATTCATCTTTCTTAAAATAAAAAGTCTTCTTAATCATAATGTTAATCAGATTGTGAGTTTGAAATAATGCTTGAAATACCACAATCAGAATGCATGATTGAATGAAGAATTTACCTTAGTGATCGTCGGTTGACATATGAGCCTTCAGAGCATATCTTGGAATTTAGACAGCCACCATCACATCTAATTTACCATCTATACTTAGTCTATTTGGTCTTTAGGAAATGCCAATCACATAAACAATACTAGCACATTGAGAGTGCGAGTTATACTTAATGCGTGCTCTTAAATCAAAAGACTATGTTTCCTCCTTTTCATCTCTCAACCAAAGCGATCCAAACAACCATGGTTGGAAGCAAGTGCACGAGGAGTAAGACAGCCACGACAACTCAATCTGCGACAGATCCGAGCTTCTATGATGTCGCAACTAAGACCGTTGCCCAGCATCCCGGCACCGTGTTTGCCACCACAACCCTAACTGCTTCTGTAGTCCCACCACTCAATCTCGCGAGCGAGAGTAGGAACCAAAAGTGCGTCGCCCGAAAACGCTTACCAGCCGTAAGGCTTTGCTACTGGAACCACCGTGCCGCTATACGGCCCTATGACTAGGGCCACCTTGCTGCACACACATCTCCACAGCTGAAACAGCTGCCCTACCTCACAGTTCCTTGATCAGGATCAGCTCGGAGCAGCAAGACCAGGCAGTCGAATCCAACCACTATCTGTATGGCTTCATGGCCACATTTGAGGCCCACCATCTAAGTGCCACTGCCGACGCAAGTCAAGGTCCGATTTTGGAGCAAGTACAACCATTCCATAATTTGACTCCACGCTCGATGTACGCTCCCGTGTACACCTCCAACGAAACCCTAGCCTGTGTGCAATTGAGCTCCACACAATTTTCTCCTTTTGATCCACGAAGTCAAGTATAGCTCAGTCTTATAATTGATCAGCTGGCTCAAAGAGTAGACAACCAAAACAACTTGGTTGGACAGCTCCTCAACCAGTCTTGGATTGCAAGGCAAAGAGAGAAGGATGGATGAACGCACCCCCAGGCAGTTTGAGAGGTCCCATGTAGGTCGAGCATGAGCAAGAAGAAAGACAAGAGCATGCTGCTCAGCATGTCAGCATGTCACAAGCATCCACGAGCCTTGCTCAAAGTAGATCGAGTCTCCGATAAAGATTAAGTTTGAGGTTCAACGTGCACGAGAGGTTGGGCTCACGATCCAATGTTTATGCCCGCTTAGGCCCGCAAAGAAGGGTTCACACGAGACTACACCCCCAAGAAGATCAGCCTCACGATCACCCTTATGAAGTAAGGGAAGAAAGACGCCCACCTGCTCGATCTCAAGGAGCCAACTCAAGAAGACAAGCTACGGAGGTTGCCTCGCAAGCTCAGTCCACCAACACGCTGCGCATGCAGGACAATCGAGGAGATATGCTCCATAGAGACAACGAAGAGGTAAACCAACGGTGCCCGAATCATGGAGGACATCGAAGTAAACCGCAGGCCATGCGGGCAGAAGATGTCGAAACTTAAAGATGAGAGGAGATTTTGAAGACGCTCTGCGCAAGGAGGTGAACCAATTGAACTCATCACCATTCATCACTGAGATCGAGCAGGCGACTCCACCAAAACGATTCTCAACACCTTCTTCCACCCACTTCAAAGGGGATTTCGATCCCTAGAGCCATATGAAGCACTTCAAAAGTATTATGATTTTCTACACAGCCAATGACGCGTTGATGTGCAAGGTGTTTGCAATAACCTTACAGGGAGCAGTCCATGATTGGTTTCATACCCTGTCATCCAAGTCGATCAGCAGCTTAGAGGAGTTAGCTTTCATCTTCACCAAGGAGTACACTTTCGACCAGAAGATCAAGAAATAAGTCTATGTTCAACATGCGCAAGAAGCAAGACGAGTCCCTCCGAGACTACATCAAGATGAGTCCTTCAGAGGCAAACATTATGGGATGTGATGACCAAATCACATCATCTGCCTTTAAGAATGGTTTACCAGCTGAGCACGACCTATATCGCGAGCAGACTATCGCTCTCAGCCAGACACTGTATACTAAACACAGGTACAGACAAACATTTGAAATCATATCCTACATTTTAACCCTAAACTACTAATGTGGTACACCATAAATGACAGGAACCGCCCCAAATCCCCTCTTGGAATCCGTGATGAACCGTGTACATGTTAGACACCTACTAGGTGTTGTGCCCAAATTACTAAAATATCCTTGCTCTAATTCTAAAACAACCTTAGAATTTGACTTCTCCCAAAAAACAAGCAGAGTCTCCCCTGAAATTGGCTATAAACCCAAAATTTATACTTGTAAAGAAAACACAACTAAATCTCCCAACCATTCAGCAAACACAATATATAAACCACACAAATTAACAAAAGTTTCAATGAGCATCAAGACCCCTTATAACGCATAAATCACTCATCAAACTAAATCGGGTCTCAAACCGCAAGAACAACATAGATAAGTTATCAAGATCCATTTTGACAAAATTGAACATACTACTAAAAGCCTAACCTCATGGCTCAACCTAGGTTGACTCTAGGTTGCCAATGTACAATTTTCAAGGGATCAAGCCACATGTAGTTCTTAAACAATAACCCAACATCTCGTATCCAATAAAAGATAGAAACTTTGATTTTATCTTAAGTATAATAGAAAATGAAATTAGAAGTAAACCTTTTTTAAACTCAAACCAGTCCTCTAATCAATCGATAGGCTGACAAATATTCAAAACATTCTTGAGCACAAGAAAACATTTACCTCAATATAAGTTAAAATAGAACTGTCGCAATACTCAATAGGTAGAACACAAGCTCAAAGTAAAACAATAATATTCTTAAAAACCAGTGTCATACATACATAACACCCAACCTCTTATTTGGAAACCATGCACTTAACAACCCACATAGGATTAGGTAGATGGCTGGGGAAATCTCGGTTGGACACATGTATATTAAACATAGGTACATGCAAACATCTGAAGGCAACCGGGGAAGAGGGAAATAAGCCAACCACCTGTGTAGACAAATCGAGCAGGTGGCTGGCAAAATCCTAGCCAGACACCTGTATACTAAACACAAGTACATGCAAATAATTCATGGCCAGACACCTACAGAGTATTCTTATTGTAGGTACATGCAATTCTCCTGGTCAGACACTTGTATTCTAAACATAAGTACATGCAAACATCTGAAGGCAACCAGGGAAGGAGGAAAATGGCCAACCACCTATGTAGGCAAATCTGGTTGATGGCTAGGGAAATCCTAGCCAGACACCTATATACTAAATACGGGTACATGCAAACATCTAAAGTCAACCAGGGAATGGGGAAATTGGCCAACTACTTGTGTAGACAAATTGGGCAGGTGGATGGGAAAATTCTGGCCAGACACCTGTATACTAAACACGGGTATGCAAACATCTGAAGGAAACCAGGGATGGAGAAAACTGGGCAACCACCTGTGTAGACAAATCAGGTAGGTGGTTGGGGTAATCCTGGTTGGGCGCATGTATACTAAACACAGGTATACGCAAACATATGAAGGCAACCCAGGAAGAGGCAATTACAAAGTAAAGTGGGTCGCCACTAGGGTGCTCACGGGTCGCCACGTGTCGTCAACGGCTAAGGCTTTGGAAGTTTTCCGTTGGAAAAAGTCCAAATGGCCGACAACCTAATATACCACTCGCACAAGCACTTCAAGGGAAACAACTTTTACTCTTGTACCTCGGCCGAATTGGCTTGAATATAGCCAAACACATAAGGGTTTTGGCCAAAGCTTATTGGGCTCGCAGCGGTGATGACAACCACTAACAATGTCGACTAACTTAGGGGAAATGTTGAGGGAGGAAAGGGGTCGACTGTGTAAAAATTCGGCGATTACAATGGCTAATCGGAGTAGAGGTGGTGGGGAAAAGGTTTGTCGGCCTTGTTGTTTGTCGCCACCGGACGACATCGGGAATTTTCCTTAGGTGCAGTGCGCCGTTTCTTGGTGAGACAGGAGAGAGAATCGAGGAGAGAGGAAAGAGAAGAAAAAGTGAGTAGAGAGAAAGTTGCCATGAGTTTTTAAAAAAAATCTTATGTTTCCAAAATTACGATTGTGCTACTGCACTTTTGTTGACCATAACTCTCTCGTTAAAGTCTGATTTACTCGTAGTATGTGTCTACGACTCATGAGAACAATTTCCATGCAATGGAGTGAAGAAATTTTTTCAAAACTAGTCCTGAACAAAAAGTGGCTCCTAAACCACTTTAAAACCCTAAGGGCAAAACCGTCGATTCCTTTTAAAACTCCAAAAATGAAGTTAAAATCCATGACGGGATGTTACAATAAACAGCATGATAATTTAAGTTACTGTTTCTCCTCATTATGCCGCATCTACTTATTCTCTTCTGATTCGCCATCCATACTTCCAGTTTTACAAGGAAACAACTTCAATCCGGCGCATTTCTAACGAATATCAAACTAACCATATAAAATTGTGCTAATTTATATTATCAAATTAAACACAATTATATTCAATCTAGCATCAAACATAGTACCACCTATATGTTTGTACTTGTGTGATCTTATTTGGGTACAAACCAATCGACAACAACATAGTACTATAAAATCTGGTTGAAATAATAAAGCCTGCATTAGAACATATACTGTTCGATACATTATGGCGTTGCCAAACAAGACATTCCTTGAGAAAGGAATTGCAAAATGAAGGATGGAACATTTTTCTTTATGGTACAACATGAAGGATAATACAAACAATTAATCTAAGTGAGTGAAAAATAGTTCAGCCAGGCTTGAAGTGACCTGATGAGCCTTGTTCCTTCAACATTGCGAGAAAAAAGCAAAATAAACGAGTTTAAGAATGTGTTGGTCGAGATGTATTGGCAGCCTAATTTATATACATATCATCTCCTCAACAGCTTTAATACATCTCCGACCAAATGCAATGACCCGGTTACAAGAACCTGCAGATCCACAATAAGCATTTTAGATGTATGAAAGTGTACAAAGATCCAGACTTTTCCCCCAAAAACATAATTTTACAGGAAAAAAATTGAAATCAGATAATATAGGGCACAATTTTCAGGGGTTTCAATTGTTATACGCTGGATATCATGATATAAGTTTAAAGTAAACTTGTAAAATGCACAAAGGAAACTTGTATGGCAATCATGTGGTTATTACCAGCCAAAAAGACAATAAACGACCTTTAAACCACACATCAAGATAAATGTAAGAGTACTGAAATACATGAATCACTATTTAGATCTTTTTAAATTCTAAATTAATTGGATGGTCTGGTGATATATCTATATGAAGTTAAATCGTAGAGATTTCCAAAATCAATGAAAGAACAAGTTTGTAGCCAGTAATTTTACCTGGATTCTAACAGAAGGGTTTCTTTTTACACAATCCCTGAGCCAATCTATAGCCAATGGTAGTGAAGGGATTACTGCACTACAAGAAAAATGATTTTCTACAGGACTGCAATGAGAAGCATCCTCATAAAGAAACTCGTAAGGCAAAAATTTTGCAGCATCCATTTTTGGTTCCGTGTCAATAACAGTATCGACTTCTGTATCTGAGCACAAAAACATTGTGTTGGACAGATTGTTGTTCAAGAAATAATCAAAACATCATTCTCAACTGCATGCATAAATTGAACACATACAAAATACTGATAGACAATTTGGTCAGAGGATGGTTTGGGTCACCTCTTAGGTACCCAACATCAGGACCCCCATAGCACAGTTTTAAGGCCACAGCCGCTATTTTGACAAAAACTATCAGATCAGATGAAGGATTGCTAATGACGACAGCTTAAAGGAGCTGATTTTCAGACAGCATTAAACTAAACCTAACCCCCACTAATGAGTTACGCAGATTTCTTTGTTCGCTGTCTTTTTTCCCCCAGGCAACTGTATGTGTTTGGTTGATCTTTCTACTTTTTTTATTTTTTATTTTTAAGGATGAACATTTCATTAAAAAGGAAACCCTAGTTGATATCATGGGAGAGAAGAGGATGCAACCAAAGAGGAGTATCTTCAACCCAAGAAACGAAATCCTTACAACTTAAAGCAAACTGAGCCAGAGCGTGAGCAACATGGTTGCAGCTGCAAGCTCCCAGCAACACAAAGCTTTCCGAAATTGGTGAAGCAGATATTTAACCTCCTCAACCAAGAGACCATCAGGTCCAGTAAACTCATTACAGTGATGTAATACTAGCAATTTCAACCTTAGCATCCATTTCCAACACCACCTCTCAAAGACCAAGATCAGGTGCAAATCACAAACATTCCACCACTCCCATAATCTCAGTTTCATGGGCCTCATAAGAGCCATGAAATGTTTTGATTGATCTTTCTATTTTATTTTATTTTTTAAATTAATGGTCAGGAAAATGTGTCTCTGCCTGCATGTGTCTAACATAAATACATAAGTGCATGTAATGTATACATATATACCTTATCATTATTATCAGGTGTGTAAATAAGCAAACACCGCAAAATAACCAATTAAAATGCAATTGAAGCTTTCAAGGAAACCAGAGTATATACCCTTCCCAT